GAGCGGAAGGTTTGGAAGCCAGATGAGCGCGGCATGCGGTAATGACAGGCGGGGAGGGGGGGGGGGGGGAGGGGCGTGTTGACAGGGGGATGAAACGCTCAGCCGTAATGAACATAATTGGTCTTGTAACAGCTTATAATGCAGCTAAATTAAAAATCATAGGAGGGAGAGCGAGTTGGAGAGGTTATTTCTGTGTCCCAACATCTCAGCCTGTCCTCCCGCCGGCTAAAAATACTGACGAACCCTGCAGAACCACAGAAAAATGATACACAACACATTTTTTCACTGGTTCGTGTAAACAGAGGCAGCATCTGACACCAGCGTGCTGCCGGGCCTGTAAATAACCGCAGCTGTGTGAAGAAGAACCTCAATTAGCATGTGTGACACGTGCCCTTTTCATGGGACTTTATCCGTTTACCTTTTGTTTGAGGGTTTTGCTGCATGACGACTTGGGAAAATGTTCCCTCCGCTTGTTTTGTCTTTGTCTCCCCAGGTGGCTTCACTCCGGCTCCTCCAACATGGCCGTGTTAGAGGTGCCGCTTCTGTCTGGCTTCCGTGCCAACGTGGAGAGCTTAGAGAAGGTAATCAGCCATGATGCCAGCGTACCGGCGCCCCCCAGTGGCGATGTATGTTAGCGACATGCCGCAGTGAGATTCGGGGGTGGGTTAGAAGCAACGTCTCCCAGTGCCCCGCTGCCGTTTCTACTGGAGCTGCAGTAGAGGGACCGGCGCCCCCCAGTGGTGATGTACAATCTTGTTCACACACCTTCAGCTAGAAGCTTTCTTTTTTTGGGCGCCTGAGGTGATGTGAAAACCACAGCGGGGCTCTGAGCGGGACACCCCAGGGAGCGTGTTTGGGAAGGCAGTGCCCCCCCCCGCCCCTCATCTCGGCCGCATCCCCCCAGACAGACAGACACATCACACAGTCATCTGGAGGTGATTTGCACGGAGGCGGCCTGTCGTGGAATGTGTCCGCCTTCTGCTTTCCGGCTCGACGATTCTCTCTGCCCCCCCCCACACACACACACACACACTTCCTCTTTTCGTAGTTGTTTTTATCCCCACTACTGCATGCGACAGATGCTGGGGGCGATCTACACCAGTGCCCCTGGGGGCGCGGGAGCCGGGGCTGGTTGGGTGTCGGAGGAGAAGAAGCCTGTCTCCGTACCTGAACTCTAGGGGGAGAAAATCTGTAATAGGCTGTTTGGATCTCTGTATATCTGTAATCCGTAATCAGATTTGGAGCCGAGTGGGTAGTTAGACTGCTATGGATCTTCTGTGTGTGTGTGTGTGTGTGTGTGTGTGTTCCCCACAATGTAATGAAAACCTGTTATTCTGACATTGTGGCGACCATTTATCAGGTCCCCACAGAGATCTGTGAATGTATTCAAAACACTAAACATGCCAAAAGTCTCATATTTGGTTACTTAGGGTTAGGGTTGAGTAGGGGTTAAGGTCGTCATGTTGGGGTTAGGGTTTTCCCCATAGAAATCAATGGATGATCCCCACAAAGGTATAACTACAAGTTTGTGTGCGTGTGTGCCGGCCTGAAACCCAGCACTAGTGGCAGTAAACATTATTCAAGGCCCCATTCATTGCTGTATTTATAGAGAGCCGTAGGAGCCAGGCCACTTGCTCCAGTGTACTGGGGTAGGGATGCACAGAGCCTCTGTGGACCAGTGATACCCCAGGCAGGCAGCAATGGCAGCCAGGGCCGGGGAAAGCCTAGTCGAGGTGGGGTGGCCCTCCCCTGGCCCTCCTGCTGCCGCGGGGGAGTGGAGCCACGTCCGCTGACAGGGGCAGGAGGTTAGCTTAGGTCGCCTCCCTGGTTTCTTGTCAACTGCTAGCTGCTCATTACCGGCCAGAGTTATGGGCGCCGACAGTCCTGGCCCCGCCCCTTCATAAAGCCTTCTTCCTGTGAGGGGCGGGGGGGGGAAAACAGAAACCGGCTCCTGACTCTCTGGGCCTCCGCCACGCCGGTCCCGGCCCGCGGCGTGAATGCTAACAAGCTCACCTCGCGCCGCACTCTGCTCGCCCCTTTTACTGCCCCTGGCTGCTCGCATTCCCTGCTTTACGAGACGCAGTGCCGCTTATTCCATCGCGCCTTGTTAATTTTGAGGACGCCGCCTTGACCGATGGCGCGGCAGCCCCTCCCCCTCCGGTCTGCCTCCTCTATTCCTGTGTTTGGTTACCCAGGCGATACAAGCTCTGGAATGAAACAAAAGTCAGGGTACATTACATGGAGGCGAAAACCCACCGTATTTAAATATGTGACTAACAGTATTATTAACACTCGTCAAACTATCTTCCTGTGGCACTGATGAGCTCGGGGGGGGAAGTCATTGTGGTGGGACATGAATGGCGGTAAAATTGGTTCTGGTGAAGTGGCGGAAGAACGCATCTCTTTAGCCCCCTCCTTAAATGAACATTCACAGAAATGCTCATAGGCAAGAATAAACCTGTTCGTTCTCTTTCCCTCAGATGCATGTACATGAATGCTGGATTGCTGTAACACTTGCCGTGCGCAGCAGTGACAGATTTTGGCACATGTTTTCGGGTCGTCACTCATTGCTGTGTCACCTCTTCCCCCCCCCCCACGCTGCCCTCTCAGCTGTTGATGGACAAACGGGTCGGCCTGAAAAGGTACGAGGTGGACGGAAGGAAGGTTCTCTTCTACTTCGACGAGGTAAGCCCAGCAAATTGAAGGATGACTTCACTGCTGGAGCCTGGAGGAGAAGCTCCTTTTTGCCCTCCTTCGGGTTGTGTTTTTGACACCCCTGCCTGAGAGCCGGCCCGGCCTCTCTGAAGGAGAATAACTGAGTGATGTCCAATCAAAAAGCCCAACCTTAAGACTGACTATGATGGTTAGAATTGCAAGAACTGTCAGCCGAAATATGCTGCTGGCATCAGTCGTTCATTCTGAGTGACACTAAACATTCCTCAAGGGCTCAGAATTAGGTATGGATGGTAGGGACATGTCCTGACCAATATTGTTGGAGGACTGTGTGTCTTTAGGGGGGGCAAGGGGTTCGGGGCTGATTTGGTCACTACCAATGTTGAAACTAGAGATGGCACAATATAATTTTTTTCTGCTCCAATCCTGACACGATATAAAAAGCTTGTGGGAGTATTATTTGCACAAAAATATTCTGAGAGCAGAATGAAAAAACATCTGATTGGTTGGTCCTGCCTCCCATAGTTGCTTGGACCCACCTCCTCTACAATCTGATTGGTTATCTCTCTGAACCAATCAGTTTTCTTTCTGCCCTCAGATCATTTTTGTGTAATTAAAACTCCAATGAGCTTATATAAATTGAGTATCTCTCAATACTGATAGCAATCTGATATTTTTTCCCTTTCATGAGCTACTAAGCATTAAATGAGACATTTGTATCAATACATTTCAATTAACACGGCAAACTACCTGCATTTAGTGCTGTAGCAGCATTGTTTGAGTTTACTAAGAACAGGAAAAATATAATGGTGATGTTGCTCAAATAAAAGCTACGCCAGTAGGCTAAAGGACGAAATCCAAAACCAACATGATTCTTTTTAATTTCACCAAAATTGGCAGAAATATTTCTTAAAATGCAAATCGTGCAATACAATAAAGAAATCAGTTATAAAAATATCACGGTTTACCACAACCAACTATTTCAAGTCAAAAAGTACACATAAGTCTGCAGTACAAAATACAAAGTCTGCAATACAACATATCGCAGCATAGATACAACTTTTAAGTAGCAATTGACTCAACTTTAGAAATTATACACGTCTGTAGACATTTGGTTTGTATAAATTTTACTGTGTTCAGACTTAAAAATCAGCATTAGCAGCATGTGCCTCAGTGGGCTAAGCTTGTGTGACTGTAATCAGAAGGTTGTCAGTTCAAACCCAGCCTCAGCACGCCTGCGGGTCCTTGAGCAAGGCCCTTAACCCCCAACTCCCTGGGTGCCGCTACGGGTGGCTGCCCTTCGCGGCCAGGTTACTCCCCAAAGAGCAAGTTGGGAGAGGTGTAAAGACTATTTCCCCATGGGGATCAGTAAAGTACCAAATAAAAAAATTAGCCTTACATACTCTGCAGTTTGGCTGTTTTCTTCCTCCAGCATATCAGTAACTACGCTCCCACACAGCCGGCATGACCGCTCCCACGCACATGCGTCATGTGACCCTCACTTCTGTTTACGGCATGTGGCGCTAAGGCTACAAGCATTTTTTGCAGTTTTTCAGGCTAGAGCTTCTCTGATGGAAACTCATGTTGGTTTCTCGCTCCCCCGTGCCCCCCCCCCATCCAATCCAGCCTTTTTGCCAGTGTCGGCCTGAAACCGACAGTGGGTATCGCATCGGTGCCATATCTAGTTGAACTCAAGCCTCCGTCCTTGACAAGCTTCACCTTTTTGACCTTTTCCACAGATCCCCAGTCAGTGCATGACCTGTGTCAGTTTCCAGGCCGTCAGGGAGTACATTGTGGGCAAGACGGCGCCCATGCCTGTCAAGGTCTATGACTATTATGAACCAGGTTGGTCATGTCAGGTTTTAATAGGGAGGCCCCTGTTTCTAGCCAAGAAAACATCCTTTAGTCATTTTATAACTTGTGTGCGTGTAGCGTGGCTGACGTTGCTGTCTGCTTGGGTTCCTCCCCAGCGTTTGAGGCCACGCGGTTCTACAACGTGAGCGAGAACAGCCCCTTGGCCCGCGAGCTGTGCGACGGCACCACCTGCAACGAGGTGGAAAGCTCTGCTAACCAGTGGAAAGGTAAGCCGACTGCCCGCCGCGGCGCCGGATCGGCCGCTGTTAGACTCCACCGTGACTGTGGCCTGAAGCCCTCGGCGTGCCTGGTGCTCGCTCGCACACGAGGAGGTCGCCGGGGGACGGGCCTGCGCAGGAATGCCTGCCGGCCCCCTGCCTGTGTTTGTGTGCTCTGCTGATGTACACACGTCCGCGGGGGGACTGATGTTGCTACAACAAAACGGCGGCATTTGCTCCCGTCGCCAGGGCTTTGTTGATGCAGTGTTTTCCTGGCCTGCCAGTGAGGCAGTGACCCCCGGGCAGCTGGCTGCTCAAGCGGGGGGCCTGATGTTTGTGGAAGGGGGCCATGCCCAGGCCCTGGGGCACGGTGGGAGAGCTGTGGCCTCCTTTGCTCTGATGACCCCCGGGAGGTTCAGCCACTCTCTCCACCCTCCATCCCACGGAGTAGGTCTTTCTCTCCGCGTGCGGAGCTGACAGCTGCCCCCTCCACCTGCAGGGATGGGGGGGAAATGCACGGCCGGCTACTCACAGGGTTTGCCGTTAGAAGCTGCAGCTCGTGGGCTGTAATTATGTGGTGTGGGGGAGGGGCGGCAGTCCATGGACACCCCAGCAGTGTATTCTTCCTGCTGGCCTGTTCAAACAGATCAGGCAAACCCAAGTGTAAACAAGGGAAGCTTCAGCTTTGCCCTAAGCCTTAATATCTTCTTTCTTCACTTCCCTGAAAGGTTGTCAGCATGGGGGGGGGGGGGGGGGCGGTGTAATGTCGGACTGAAGCTGAGCACCTCATCCTCTGATCCCCTTGTCCTGCCCAGGATTTGCACAGGGGAACCAGTGCAACAATGTCTTTGGCTGTCCGGAAGAGGAGCACTTTGAGCGCTGCACCTGCTACCAGGACTGCGGATACGATGGCGACCCAGTGTGCGGCTCCGATGGTCAGCTCTACCAGAACCAGTGCCAGATGGAGGCGGCCGCCTGCCGCAACGGGACCCACATCCAGCAGATGCCCCTGGCCCAGTGCCCCCAGAGTATGTCTGCGCGTACAATCCTCGCTGAGCTGGTTATGACACTGCACCCAGAACTGGTCCTGTCACCTGGCAGATGATGCCACTGGCCTCACGGACTATCCTCCCATGTGCAGCCATGCTTTTACTGGTGGCTTTATCGCTTCCAGTGCAGCATAACTGCAAGCCTGAGGTGGGAAAAATGTCAATGAGCAATCTTACTCTTTAAAAAATACAAAACAAATTCTGTTTTTGATATGCGCACACACACACACACACACATATTTGAATATGTATATTTATTTTTAGTTATAGAACGAAAAACCAGTGGAACATTTGCAAATAATTCCCCTCATTTTTGTTTTCACCCAGCAAATAATTTCCTATTAGTCCAGTGACACATCGTGGTCACGAACTCTTCCAGACTATAAACAACAGTTACAGTTGCATGTGAGAAGATCATGTTTTCCACAACAATCAAATGTGTTGTGCATTAGGACGACGCTGTGAAGCTGTTTGGAAACGAGTGCTGTGTTTGAGGAGCGTCTGCATTTGAGGGCCACACGCGTTTGTTATGCAGACCTCATGTGAAACGCAGTGTTCTGTGTCGGATACTTATGCAACGGCTGAGCAGTGGATCCCGACAGTCTTTCTGTTTTTTAAAGGTCTCTTCCACCTTTTAGTCGCTGCTCCTGATCCTTGGGAAGACGGAGCTTGCAGTTCATTTTCCTCCCACATTTAAAGGCTGGCTGTCACATTATAGCGTTTAGCCGCTTGCTGTTGGGGTTGAAATGCATTAGAAGAGCCCAAATGCATGCTGGGTACAGCCAGCCTGCACTTCGCAATTAGGGGAGTGCTGAATGTGCCCAGGCAAGCCCCCCATGGGCACGGTCATGTCCCGGCTTCCTGGAAAGCTGACTGTGGGGGGACTTTGGTGTGAAAACAGCTGTTCAGGTGTGAGAGGTGGCCAGCCCACTCCCCCCCCCCGAGCCCAACACTGCAGTATTACAGGGCAGCCCAAATGACAGAGTGCTTTGAAAAGCCTGACACATTCCTCTGAAGTCCAAGGGCCCAAAAAAATAACCTCTTTCCAGAACGGGGAATCGTGTGTACAAATGTTTGGTTTTCGGGGGCTTGGGAAGTTACATTAATAACGGTCAGTGGGTCTCGCCTGTTTGTTCCTGTTTCTGTGTCTCTGTTGACTTTCCTCCGCTGGTAAAATGCCAGCAGCTCAGCAGCATAAACAGGCCCCTGAAACTTGCCGTTTGCTCCCTTTACCCCATCAAACATCTGCATGAGAACAGGGATCAAACCACTGACTTTCAGTGTTGGGACATTTCAGGTGCAGAAGTTAGAAATCCAGACCAAGATTTTGTTTCTACCAACCAGTTGAGCACTCTGTGACTGTGACTCTTTATGCTCAACTGGTTGGTAGAAACAAATTCGCGTTCTGGATCTGTAACTTCTGGACCTGAAATGCCCAACACTGCTGACAGTGCATGAAGTAAACTAAATAATAATAATAATAAGCTAAAAGCTGACCAGACATGATTATTTTTTGGTGCTCTGGTGAGGACAGGTAGCTTATCTGTGGAAGAGACTCATTTCTGGATGGGACTCTGGCTCTGACTCTGTCACTGGCTTTACTGTTTAAGTGTCTGGTAGTTGTACGGAAGGATCTCACACGCTGTCCTGGCTCCTGTGTGTAATGATAGGTCTTACTGTCTATTCTCTCCTGCATATTCACTGAATGCTCACACTCTCTGTGTTCTGTGTGCAGTAGAGCCAGCTGCAGAGGAACGGCAGCCAGTGACAAGGCCGATGCAAGTGCAGGAACCTGAGGCCACACAGACAGGTACAGTACACCTCACAGTGACCTCACAGTACACCTCACAGTGACCTCACAGTACACCTTACTGTAACCTCATAAGGCATTTTCCCACAGCAGGAACCTTTTTCGCCAACCAGAACCATTTTCAGTTCTGTCATGTTCCTGCTGCAGGAACTCAATTATAATTCTTTGGAGGTCATTCTTGAACCTTTTTTTAGTCCCTACTCCAGAGTAGGTGCTTTTCACTCGACCAGGAACTACTGGGTGGAGCTAATAGTGATCATTTTTGCTGATTGGTTATAAATGCATAAATGAATATACCTATTTTATCTCCATATTTCTGCATTGGAAAATCCAATCAATAATCAACATACTTCTCTACCTTATATCACAGTGCTGATGGTAACACTTGCCAGCAGTTATTAGAGGAAATATTGCTACATTGTTTTTTTATTCTGTGGAAAACAAAAGGTTGATCTGCTGACCAGATTTAATAATGAAGTATGAAGATGCTGTGGGCTGTAAAAATGAAGACCACACAATCAATCCCCCTAGTAACTAAAGGAACAACCTGTTCATCCTGCATTGTTTTGGAGTGGCAGCGTAGTTTCCTGTGAAATACATGTGATGTTTAGCCCGCAAGCCTTTTGCATCCCCCATGCTTATTTAGAGATCACAGTTCCTGTTGTGCAGTGGAAAAGCGACACACGATGGTTAGGGATGGCCCAGGAATTTGGAACGAGGAATTGGGTTCCTTAAGTTCAGTGGGAAATACCTAACAGTGACCTCATAGTAGACTTTATAGTGACCTCATATACACTTCACAGGTATCTCATAGCACAGCTTTTCCATTGGCATACAGGAACCAGGCCATATCCGACCCGTATCATGAAGAGACACTAGTTTCGGCCCGGTTCCAGTGCACTTTGATTTTCCACTCCACAATGGGTGGCTGGGTTTGAAGAGCAGCAGCGACGTAAAACTGAAAAGATGCTTGTTTACTGTGTACATTATGATTTACTATTTACTCATTTCTGTTGGCATGTCTGTGAGATTTATGTTATGTTAGCATTGAATACTAGTGGAATTACCATTAGCTTGCATACATTTGCATTACAAATCAATTCGCAATGAATTTTTTCAAGTAGGCGGTTCAAAATTATCAAGTTCAGAGGCATCGGGAATGTATCAATACATTGCACTATATGATACTACTAATAATGAATAACACTGTTTCTTCCTTGTCTGCATGCGTTTTGACTAATCAGATGATGGAGATGCAGTCAACTCGTTTAAGTCATGCTTTCAGCACTACTAGTAAGCAGGGTCACATCAGCACGGACACAGCTTGGGTACTTATCTGCAATGAGAAACTATCTCTTCGCGGTATGACTGTGGTAAAGCTTGGTTCTTGATGGGAGTGGAAAAGAGTCAGTAGCACATTTTACTGTGATCTCAGAGTGCATCTTACAGTGACGTCATAGTATACCTTACAGTGATGTCAGAGTGCATCTTACAGTGACCTCATAGTATACCTTACAGTGATGTCAGAGTACATCTTAGTGACCTCATACTGCAGCTTACAGTAACATCATAGTACACATTACAGTGACCTCATACCATCCCTGGCACTACATTGTCCCATCAGTGTCACCCTAGATCATCTTAGCTGCTGGGGAGCTGACACACCCAGCTAGTGGGACCAGTTGCATTGCTCATGCATATAACCCAAAGAACGTGGATTTGTCTGGGTGCGCACAGAACTGGAACAATATTAGTTGCATATTAACAGCTTTGTGGGCCATTTACACTGAAATGGAAGGCTGGAAGTCACGTCAATCTATGTGAGAATATTTATAGCTCTTGGACATGTTGTCGCGAGTGTCAGTGTCCCCTCCCCATAGCATGCTAATCAAACGGGGGGCGAGGCTGAAACAGCCCCTCCTGCCCAGGCCTGGGCTTCCACACAGGGCTGTTTGGACTTGCCCCCCCACCGGCTTGGGACAGTGTAGAGCAGAGCCCCTGATAAACTGAGGGCTGGGGTCCAGCTGAGTAATCACTACTGCGTGCTTGTGCATATCACCAGAGCCCCATTTAAAGGCTCACGCTCTCATCTTGGCTCTGAGTCGTCCGGCATTTGACTGAACATCTAGAACGTTTGACTCCAGATTTTTAATTGCCATTCAGAGTTGTTGTGAGATTTCTGAATTTTTACCATACAGTAGTAAAATGGTTCTGCCACAGGGCATGTAGATTTTGAAGAGTTCATTCTGAGGTGCTGGTATTCCAAAGGATAGAACCCTGTTTATTCTGGAAAGGGAGACACACATGGTGTGTGTGTGTGTGTGTGTGTGTGTGTGTGTGTGGGTGGGGGGGTACATTGTGGTACCAAATGCCCCCACAGTGTAATAAAAACATGTTATTTTGATGTTGTGGGGAAAGATTTTGTAATTTTTTTTGTAAAAAACTGTGACTACAAGCAAAAAACTAAAAATGCCAAAAGACTTATATTTTGTTTGGTTACTTATGGTTAAGTTTAGGGCTGGGTAGGGGTTAAGGCCGTCATGATGGGATTAAAGTTTTCCCCATAGAAATGAATGGGGAGTCCCCACGAAGATATAATTACAAACCTGTGGTGTGTGTGTGTGTGTGTGGGGGGGGGGGGGTACTGCAGCCACGCCAAAGCATCTTTCATGTGGCTCTGCCTGTGTCAACTTGTTCCCATCCTGCAGTTCGCAGGGGGCGAGAATGTGCACTGCGGGGGAGCCATTAGATTCAAAAAGCCGTTACAGCTGTCGGCAGCAGGGGCGCAGTGCAGCGCAGTGCAGCGCAGTGCGCAGCCAAGTCCGTAACGAAGCAGATATACAATCGCCGTGAAATACCACATCCCGGGGAATTCTTCGACTGACAACTGTGCTGCTATTGTTTACACACACACTAAACCAAGGTTGCTGTTATGCTGGAGGTTAGAGATGAGTAAGTGACTAACCCCCCCAGTGATAGATTTCAGGCTCTGTAGGCATCTGTGCTGGGCCCACTCTGCTTTCTTGGGCTATTGTGACCCCTACAGGCAAGACTGGTAAAATTATCCTAACAATTTGTTATATGTGTTAGATGGACTGCAATGATAACAAGCAATAACCAGTGTTGGGGAAGTTGCTAATCCATTACAGATATGGAAAGTTCAGGTCCAGAAAGTACAGATCCAGACCAAGGTTTAGGTTCAACCAACCATTTGAGTATAAAGAGTCACAGCTGCAGAGTACTCATCTGGATTTGTACTTTCTGGACTCGAACTTACGTTACTTACGTTTGTGAGTAACTTCCCCAACACTGGCAATAATAATACGGTCATTTGATGTACCGTGATTTTTTAGCATATATCTGTCAGCGTATTTTTCACTGTCATGTGACTTTCCAGGAAAAGAGGAGCATGAGTCACTAGCGGAAGCGTCAGACTACTTCTATGAATACGGCGCGGAGAGCGAGCCCTTCCCTGCAGAGGAGGACGATGGCAGCCAGACGGAAGGACCCCACGACAGCCTGTTGCACCCGGTGGACACCAAGGACACCCCTGAGCGATGGTGCGGCCCTGCATCCTCGCCGCCTGCCACAGGGGTGGCTAGATTCTCATTTAAGTGAACAAGGCTCTGGGGTGCGGAGGTGGAAAATTCAGGTAAAGAAAGTACAAATCCAGACCAGGATTTTGTTTCAACCAACCAGCTGAGTACTCTGTGACTGTGACTCTTTATACTCAACTGGTTGGTTGAAACAAAACCTTGGTCTGGATTTGTGTTTTCTGGACCTGAACTTTCCACCTCTGCTGAGGTTGCAGCTGAAACAAACACCAGCATGCCCTACACCCCTCAAAGTTTGGAGTTTGACTCCAGCGCCCCCCAAAGACTCTGAAAGTAGCTGTAGTTTTATCTGGTGTTTATTCACGTTTTGTTTATCTGTGGTCATTATGCTAATAACGCATCGGATGGAACGGTTACATCGCACGTGGAATTTCTGTCTCCTTAATTGACGTTCCGTATGTTCGGAGGCCTACATTCGTGGCATGCCTGTCGTAGGCGTAGCGCGTCTGTCTCTGGCAGGGCATGATGGTGTCAAACAGCCGCTTGCGAGTTGCACCCCTCACGCTGTGTCCTGTCCTGCTTTTTTTCCACAGAAGTGCCCCCCCCCCCACCCCCTGGGCCACAGCGCAAGACATTCCTCAGCTGTACAGTGCTTGTAAATAAACCACGGTGAGGGGAGAGTGAAGAGGAACAGGGTTGGGGGGGGGGGAGTGAGAGGCACGGGGAGAGCAGAGCGTGTGGGCGGGAGAAGTTTGCTCAGATCGACAATTCCGGCCGTCTTTTACACCCCCACCTTACCCTCACCAGCAAGCGTCCCTTTATTCTGTGTCTGTATGATGTTTCATATAATCTCCAGCGTAAACGAACAAGTATTTATGTTTGTAATTATACTTGAGTTAAAACAAATGTCTGTTTGTTTGTTTTTTTCCCCTTGTGCTATTTATTTTTAGCCTGGCATCTTTGTTTGATTTTTTGTTTGGTTCGTTATGTCTCTATTTTCACTTTTTCCAGCCCAACATCGCTGACCATATTGTAACCACAACATATTAGAAACTTCAGATAATATTTTTGTACCAAGGATCCTTTTTAAAAAGCCTTGTACAGCTAATCTGTTCAAATACTTTTATTTAATGACGGTCTTGCTCAAAATCATAAAGCCAGACATGGACTTTATTGTACATTGTATAAGCTATTTTGTTATATTACCTAGTGTCTTAAACAATTAAATGAAAGCAAATGAAGTCTTTAATTACTGTAAATTAAGATTTTTTTTAAAGATTGTAACCTCCCTACCCCCCCACCCCAACTGCGACTATAGTGCTTCTTAAAAATAAGAACATAAAATTGTGTATATGGACCCTTGTGTGCGATCTGGTTTATATAGAACCTTCACTCATGAACGTGGTTCTTAACTTTCACAGGCATGTGCGGGTGAAAGTTGGGCTGTGGCCGTCCGCTGCGCCATGCGCCGCTGCTGATTCACGCTTTCAATAATACGTGATTAGTAACCTTACCCTCTGAGCCCTGCTAGCGTAACCGCCTGCTGCGGGTCAGCTCCTCCGTTTGCCCTCGTTAATAACGCAGAGTTGGATTTCCTAGCCGGCCTCCTGCGGAGCCCGTTAATCATTAATGCTTGTGTGTCAGTCAGAAAGGTAGGCCGCGTCTTCAGGTACTCGCGCTCCTAACAGCACACGGCCGGTCTCTCCATTATTCTCCTTGGAAATGTTAACGGTCTGACAAGAAATTTTTATTCATTTAGACCCGGTGCTCTGGGATCCCATCTGCCCACCGTGCAGGACTGAGTTACCGGCAGGTTCTACGAGCAGCATTAATCAGTTATACATCCTAAGAATGTTCCAGATTCGTCTCCAGTTGGGTCTTCTCATTATTTTACAAAACCGAGAGAGGAATATGGAATTCCAGAGTACGGAATGCAGGAATGCAGTACGGTCTGATGTGTCTGGAAGAGGGACGATTATCCCCTCAGATACTGGATGGGATGAGCGAACAGGAAAGGGAGGGGGGGGGGGTCTCCGAATTGAAGGACTGCTTCAGTGCAGATTATGTTACGTGAGACTGAACCCGAGTGATGACACAGTTGCTGTGCCTGACAGTCACCTGAAAAGTAGCTATTTCATGAGAAGCTTCCAGTGGATGAACACCAAAGGGCTCGTTACGTTAGGGCTTATAAAACTTTAATATGAACTCGGTTGCATTTGTTAAGAATGTAACTAGTTCTCATTACTTTTGTAGTCCTGAAAGAGAGTGAATCTTTGACAGTGAGCACCAAGAATTCATGCATCACGCCGAAGGACCCAGATGCTTGATAATCAGGAAAGACATCCTCCACTGCCCTGCCTGAAGATCTCCGATTCACTTCATACGAGGCCAGCTCTGATACCTCACCTTGAAGATGACATTCTGCTGATCAAGCGTGAACTGTCTGCTTCAGCTCTTTGGCCGGAAGCTTGAATTTCGGAGGTTAAACCAGCATTAGATGGCTTCATCTCTGTCAACTGTTTTAATTGTTTTTGGCATCATTCAAGAAAGCCAGTCTGCATTCTTTGCATTCATTTCCATCGGTATGTCAAGACGCTGTACTCTTGCCTTCAGGTTTTAACAATACATATTGGGGTAAAAGAGTGGTGGATACATTTTGATTCTGCAGCCCTTTGAATCTTAAAAATTCACACTGAGGAGAATCATTGCAATGAGATTCATCATAACACCTCAGTTCATTTTTAATTTGATTTCTATAGTTTATGCATGTATTGTAGTAAGTACATTGCACATATGAACTGGACAGTTGATCAGAAGTGTGGCTCACTGAATGTGACCCCCCTGTCCTGTCTGTCCGTATAAGTCACTTCTCTTCAAATAAACTTGCATTCCAGACCAAATGGAGAAGAATCCTCCCAATATTGCAGGCAGAGAAAAGGGTAAGTCTCCATAATTTTATTAGTCACTAGCTTTTAAAAAATAGATCCCGTTATGTGCTGATTACTCTGAATACCCTGGTGTAAGAGGTTACAGCTTAGACCAGAGTGTGGTCAACTCACTACAGTATCCTGCGTATACTAACCTTATGTTTGCGTTTTACAGAGATTGGAATTTAAATGTATGTGTTCAGTATATTTATGTGAAATTTCATTTTAAATTTGGATTTATTTTTGATAACCAAGGGTATTTAGTTGACAAATTCTTTGTATTAATGTATTTCCATAATCATATCTTGATCAGAAGTTCATGTAGCGCCGTTAGAATACCGACGAACCCAAATGGTCCAATGAACACGGCCGGAAAAATCTCTTTTCTTGCGCGCGTTTTTAAAATGCGCCATGTGACCACGATGCCAGAGGCTCTAAAGCGGCTAATCCTGTCGGCAGGCCCGGGTCCAGGCCGCTACGCCCTGCCTCCGACTATCGGTTTCCTGGGGCATGATTTTACGAAGTCGACCAGCCCTGCGTATTCCTTCCATGGCAGGATGTTCGACCACAGTGAGTACGACCAAGCTGTCTGGAGGGCGTTTAATCAAAAAAATTGTTTTAAAATTTGATTATTTCTTCCACCTTCTTAACATTAAGATCTGCAAATGAAATATAAGCAAAAATAAGCAAAAATCTTGGTAAAACCTGAACAAAGACTAGCATTGAAAATTAAAACGTTCCCATTTATATCAGCAAACTGTAATGTCAGACTTCGACCACTTGAGGGTGACAACAGCACAAGATTTAACCGTCCTGAGCTCTTTTAGGCGGAGGTGGTTTGGGCTGGCGGTGTTTTTCCTTTGAGACGTTATCTCCACGGTAGGCAGTGATGACACTTCTACCTGTTAAAAGATCCTGATATTTAACTGAAGCAGTTGAGTATCATTTGAATCAGGTCTGGAGCTTTAGGCTTCTGGAATGCTGTTGTAAACCTCTTTAATTACCAAGTCCCTATTACTGTATTTACATTTGCAGTTTGACACTTCTGTACAAAGCCACAAACGACTTGGTTGCATTTAACACCTTAATACTGTTGCTTTGTTCACCCTCTGTTCCAGAAGAAAAAAACGCATTTTACGAAAATGAACTTTACAGGCATTTAATACTAATTTGACCAATTAGGTCAGATGAATTAAAACCAACGCACATATTGTTCTTGAATGACATTGACCTTTGTCTAGGCTACAGTTTCTCCCCTAGGATTTGAAACTGTACAGTGCTTGGATTTCAAGCTGCATATTTTTATCCAAGTCCTGTTCGTAAATAGTCATTTATATACATAAAATGATTTATATTCGGAAAAATAGAGTGGTGTGTCAAATTGATTTTTTTGTGAAACTAAAGAGATGAGCAGCGTGAAGTTTATGTTGATTTCTGAAAGTCCTGTGAATTTTTTTGTGACTCATGGGTTCTTTCTTGGGTGTGCATTGCATAGTGTTCTCTGTAGACTCCAGTCCCGGGCCTAAATATCATGTTGACGCAAAAATAACTCGCTTCGGTAGGGACGGTACCCCAGCGTACTCAATGCTGGGCAGGATGAGGCCTTGTGGTAAGTCTACTTTTGTTAGCTTCTCAATTTTATTTCATCGGAATCTGGTGCAGTGCCTTCGTCCAGTGCTTTAAGAACCACAGTATGCACACGAAGAAGGACATTAAACTAGATTTCCGTGTTTCTTAAGAGTGAGCTATTTTACCACATAAAGCTGTTACAAAATCCAACTTCAAGTTTTTCTAAGTGGCCTGCATCTGAAGTGTAACTTCAGCCAGCGATGGCAAAAGTGCCTATTGTGCCAAGTGTTGTTCTCCTTTTCTGAAAAACTGGACGCTTTTACCGACCGACATTCGAAAGGTAGGTTTAAAAAAAACAGGAAATGCTCGGAGACAGAGCAGTCCTCTCAACTCCAGCTAGGCTATAGGCCAGGGATCTCCAACTCCGGTCCTGGAGAGCTACCGTCCAGTAAGTTTTCTATCATACCCGGCTTCTGATGAGCCACACCTGTTCTCAGATAAATACCAGGAACAGGTGTGGCTCATCAGAAACCAAGTGGGACAGAAAACCTACTGGATAGTAGCTCACCAGGACCGGAGCTGGAGACCCCTGCTATAGGCTAACTGGTGGATGAGCACTGTGTTTTGTTAGACAGACACTCATGTATTGGCAGGGCATGAGGTTTCAGTAAGTTCTTCCAGTTCACTGAATCAAACTGCTGCAGTATTCAAAGCATGTGACTGAATACATGTGCCCGAAATTGCGGGCCCTCAGAATCTGCTTTTCTCAAGAATAAATCCATGTCTCTTTCATAGTGGCAAACTTCCAGACTCCAGGACCCGGTTCTTACAATCCTGAGGTGGCTCCCATTGTCAACGGCCAGCGAAGGCCCCCGTCATACACCATGGGCTCTCGAACCTGCTACCGTGGGGTGGACAGCATTCCAGCCCCCAACAAGTACAGCCTCCCTTCACTAATGGGCTCTAAAGTGCCCACCAAGCCAGCCAGTGCCAGCTACACCATATCAGGACACTGCAAGTCCGGGGGGGCGTCACAAGACCTGGCCAAGACCCCGGGTCCTGGCAGGTACAACAGCACCGATCCCAGCGTCTATTTGCCCAGGCAGCCAGCATTCTCCATGCTCAGCCGGCACAGCCTCCCCCGCGACAGGACCTGCAAGCCGGGCCCCGGCTCACACAGCCCCGAAAAGGTCATGGTGCATAAGCCCCGCCCCCCAGCCTTCTCTATGGGCATCAGACACTCTGAGTTCGTCACCCCGCTGGTGATAGACACTTTGGACTGACCTGCGGGTCTCTCCACCTCAGCAAGATTCCGATCCTGTTTCCTGCCGTGTTTCATAATCCTTTTTCTTGTTAATATTTCTTTTGAGACGCCTGTTTCTCTGGTCCCATTCGCGATTTAAAAGGCAGCTTTCTCGAATGGCATTTAATTGTGAAGGAGGTGTCAGATAAGAGTGATTGGGGGGGTTTTTTTCTGGTAACATTTTCATAATGTCTACGAAGGAAAGACAGAAAAAGAGGCTGCTTACGCTAATACGGAAACGTGAGCAAATCAAAGTGCATGTGACTCAAAAAATAAACAGACACATCATAGCAATTCACATTTAATGCAATAAAAAAATCTACTTAACAATGTAGCCCTGTAGTAGAAGGAAAATGGCACTATGGGTTCGATAATCACTAATTTTGTTAAAATTAGGTCAAAATTGTACAAAGGTGCTAAAAATCTTTATATTTTATGGATTAAAATGGTTAATTCTGAGAAATATATTATTGTAAACGTACTATTCCAAGTTTATCAAAAACAATATCATACTTTGAATACTTTGCATATTCATTACCACAATACCTCATACTTCTTACTGTCATTTATTTCGAAACCGTGGATTTTCTGCACTATTTAGAAAAAGGCCTAATCAACGACCATGCGCAAAAATGTGAAATTAATATAATCAAGAGCAAAATAAGTAAAGCGCCTCTTGAAAAAGCAGGATGATGTGCGATGCACTTTTCAAAAAAGTGCATCACGAATTATAAATAGGCCTAAGTGAAATGTACCAGCCGTTACTTGGTTCTCTTGCCGTCGGAAGCCCTGACTGATCGGGCGCTGGGCACCCGCGCGCGTTTGCCCGCTTCTCAGACTCCGGCGCAAACTGGCATCTCTGTCCCGGCGCTATATTACAGGTGAGCATCGCTTCGGACCGCTGCGTCCTTAACTTTACCAGCCTTTTTGCTGCTTTGATGCGCCGTTATTCGGCTTTGCTATTAATATTAGCTATTAACAGCAGAAATACCCAGGTGACATTTTAACTTTATTCATGCCTCGCTTGCAGAACGGAGCCGCTTCGTTACGAACCGTAAACGGAACGAAATGAAGGGCAACACGATTATACATAATGAACCGAAACGACGCGCCAGCGTGTTTATACGATTTGGGGTTTTACTCTCTTACTTTTTTTTCTGCTTTGAAATCGGAATTGAATCGCCGCCGTTGTACTCATGGACGTAGCCATTAGCAGTCAGCTGTACATGTGATGGGAAGCGGTTGTCAGACTTGCATATAGAACGGAGACCCGCTTCCCAAGGTGCACGGACCGGGTCCAGGGTGCATGTATGCGTGTGGCTGCATTCAATCGGGAGAAGGACGTTTTACCGGCGAGGAAACACAGGCAATGCAATGCGTACGCTGACAATAATCTGCAAGGTGGCCAGCTCGGGAACTTAATTCAATAATCAAGTATATTCAATATGAGATGGAATGTATTAGAAAAGGAATTGAAGGCGATCATGACCCAGTAATTAACCTTGTTGATTTTTTTTCTTGCTATCCGGTTTTTCAAGCTCGCTGGCTTCAATGTAGGTCACTACTGACGTTTACTCGCTGGTATATAGGTCCACTGGACAAGGTGTTTCAATAAGTACTGACTACTACATTAGTCCTGTATGAAAAATGATATTAGAATGTATGTTATGTTGATTTCAGTTGATATGAAAAATACTGTGTGGTTTTTGTTGTAACTGTTAAGAAAATTGAAATAAACTAGAAGCCTTCAACGAGTATAGAACAACGGAGGGAAATGACAAATATGTGGTAAAGCTGGTCTGAAAATATGAACATGAGAAAAAGTTTAAAAGGATGAATTCAGTCACATTTAACGAATACATACCTAAATACATATCCTTATATATATTAATTTCTTTTACTAATTAAAGTTGTTTCTGTTGTGTTTTCTTTTTGGCTTTTACAATAAACGTCATTTATATTAATAGGCACAAATTAATACATTTTCTGGTTCCATGTAAACACTGAGCTAAGCAAACAAAGTTAATGATGAACAAAGGAGCCAGGCGATTTGATTAAGAACGAAGTCAAACATGGCCTTACCAGAATCATGCCATGGACATACACTGACCTGATTGTTTAACTTTGCTACTTTGTAAACTTTTAGTTTTAAATGTCAACGGTGGTTAACCGCATTGTTTCTGTGAAGGCAGTAAGAATGTTCACCCACCTGTCAAAGCCTATAAAATTGATGCTATACAAACTATGCACAACACAAACCACACAAATCGCGCTGCATTGGTGGTTGGGCAGTTTTTAATCTAATTGCGTTGTTGGCCACCTGCGGAGATTAAAATAAGATCACAATGGTGAATTTTCATGCATTTTCTGATATGCCAGTGCAAAACAAAAATAAATGACTCTGGACAGCAGTCTCTTTAGTATTTCTGTATAAAAACGGTTTCTCCATTTTAGAATAATTTTTTTTTGTAACTGAGTACCATTGGTCAGTTTATACAACCAGATGTGTTGTCTGATATCTGTGTCTTGCTAGTGGACTCCCTGGGTATTTTATTACAATTGTACTAAGCAGTTCAGTAAACATATAGTTACCTCTTCCTGTAATGATTAGAATATAGTGGAATGATTGACTTCTTGTCTAGTCAACACTTATCTTGAGTATTAACATGCATTAGCCTACATCAAACATGTGTTACATCATTTCTAAGAAAAATTGCAGTTTTTTTGTGTTGAACAAGGAAGTAAGTGTGTTGATCATGTGATTGGATGCTGGTGATCATGTGATTGGATGCTGGCGTTAAAGAGGGTGTGACCCATGGCCCTGTGGTAAGTGTGACAGGGGTATTCTGCCGTCCTGCACAGGAGAGCGATTGTTTGATCTATGGACACATGGTTAGTGGTCCTACCCACACAGAGTTAGCCTTTGCGCACGCGGCAGTCTGCACACTCAAAGTGAGTGTGATTCACGTAACTGTTTTTTAAGATAGAGCATAGTTTGTAACCAGCTCAGATAAACCATCATACATTGATACTGGTGAGTTATGTTTTGCACATTATTTACTTGCATGGGATTGTTGTGTTTTTTTTTTAATCTCTCTGATGAAATTTTAACTTTGAATATGTGGCAGTAGCTAATAATTTCTCCTCCAGACTAATTAATATCCTCCTTTTATACGTTTCCTCTTGCAAAAAAAAAAAAAAACAGAAACAGAAGACAAAGTAAATCCATACTATTCTAAGACGTCTCTCCAGTTTTAAGATTAATACGCTGTGATGGTGATATGGGTGATATGATTATTATTCAGGGCAAGCAGTAATTCTAATGTACACTAAATGGATAGAGAAAATTATCGGAGGCCTCATTCGGAAATCTCTGTGAAAGGTTTGGAGGGACTCTGTGGAGTGGTGGTCATAATATACAGCTAGCAAGTAGTGTGAGCGTTGTGTTACTCTCAAGTTTTTCGCCGTAACATAATGTAACCTGTGATTGTAGTAACAACACAATACGACTGCAGTTTAAATTGAAGATCTCCGCCACCTTCAGAACTTATTTTTAATATTCTAAATAAATGGATAATGACAACAGAATTTTAGAATTAATTTATATTCTTATTGCATAAGTGTCAGGATCGGTCCCTGTCTTGTCTTGTTCTGCCTGTTGTTTCACTGTTTGGCCAGTGGGTGTCGCTGGTCATCCCATTCTGCTTCCTGTGTTCCCCAAGGTTTACCACAGTTAATATCCTCTAGGTTTGTCTTGGTCCCAGGACCGCTGCGTGGCTGAATGTGCTGAGTGTATGGCTACAACTCACACATTCCATACTATCATGAGCTTGACTCTTACTTTGAACATGTACAATATTTGTGTCCTGGAATTTTTCTTGGTTATCTCACGTTAATCATGTTCCTTTTGTTTATGTACCACAGTTAAGTCCTTGCCTTTAGTGTCTTTGTTCTGGATAACCCTGCCATTGCCCAGCCTTATACATATAGGGGCAGCATGTGGCTCAGTGGGCTAAGCCGTGTGCCTGTAATCACAAGGTCGCCGGTTCAAGCCCAGCCTCAGCACGTCTGCAGGTCCTTGAGCAAGACCCTCAACCCCCAGCTCCCTGGGCGCTGCTACGGGTGGCTGCCCTTTGCGGACAGCCTGCTCTACAAAGAGCAAGTTGAGGGAGGCGTAAAAAGAATTTCCCCATGGGGATTAATAAAGTGTAAATTATTATTATTATTATGTCCTGTTTTCCTTGTATTTCCTGCTGTTTGAATCCCTGGCAATTTGTCGATTGTTAATGTCCCACACTTGTTCCCTGTTTAGCCCTCGTTACCAGTGTATATATGTGCCTGTTCATGCCATGCTCCTCTGTCGGTTATTGTAGGTGTTAGAGCATGTTTGCCCGTGGTCCTTGTTGATGCCCCTCGCTGTAAACTCCTTCCCTGTTTGTTAGATAGCTCTGAGTTCCCTTGTTGTCCAGTTTCAGTCCTAGTTACTTCCAGTATTTTCTACCCGCCGTTGTTTCGATCCCTCGTGGTCTCTTTAGTTTTGTTGGTTTGTTTTCGCCAAAAAAGTTCCCCTTTGTCTGGAAAGCTGCATTGTGGACCATTACTCATGCCCTGATATTATAATAAGGAAAAATATGATGTACTGCACCTTGCACATTCAATCTGTGACAGAACCCTGCTGTGTGCTTTGCCATTTGTTTGCATCGTGCAGTGAGAGGGATGGATTGTGCTACCTTTTAGCGCGTTCGTGCTATATTTTAATCATACCATATTTGGTTTATTTGTCTTTTATCTTTAGCATTATGATGTTGATTTTTTACTAAAACTAAAAGCAGTGTATTTAAGGGGGAAATATATATGCAACACTCAGGCCTGTAAGAAAGATTAATTAATCATTCAAATTGGAATCGTTTCTCGCTGTCTTGTATAAGTGTACAGCCTATAACTTTGATATTTACTCATTTAGTTAGCTGAAGCAGCTGCTGAATAGATTACTAGACCTAACCACCACCAGGTAGAACCTACTTCTGCTTCCGGAATCAATTAAAGGGTAGAAGAACTGTTTTGAGAAGCTTTTCTGCACGCCGCTGTCAAACTGAGGGGTGCCCTATTGCTCTTGCGGCCTTCCTGTTAACTTTTAAAACTCTGGCTGTTCTCCTCAGACCTCCCTTTTTAGAAGTGTGTCTTTGGCCACGGATGCCTCAGACTGGATGTGTTTTGTTCGTCACACCATTCTCTAAACTCTAGTCCAGAGGTCACCAACCTTTTTGAAACTGAGAGCTACTTCACGGGTACTGAGCCATACGAAGGGCTACCAGTTTGAAACGCCCTCCTAAACTTATCTAAACTTCATGTATAATAAACATGTTTTAAATGCTTTTTTAGATATTGTCATTTTCAAATCTGTATAAATGCAAATGTGATTAAAGAAGAATAGCAACACTCGTTTGCGACTCGTGGACCTTGGGGCGTCCCTTGCTCTAGACACTGTAGTGCATGAAAATCCCTGTAGAGTGGCTGTTTTTCAGATTCTGGAACCGCCATGTCTCGCACCAATAATCACACCACATTGACAAATAGATCATTCTGATACTTAGCCAAAAAAATAACTGATCCTCTAGGCTTTGTTTGTGTGCTGTATGTACTCAGCCACAGGATTGGCTGTTTGTAAGGGCAGGCTGTTTGCATTAGAAAGCAGGTGTACCTAATAAACAGGCCAGCCACTGAGTTTATGCTCAAAACAGGTGATATTGATGATTTATATGTATGATTTCTGTCAGATACCTTAAGCTTTAATGTAGCTGTAGATGATTCATATCAGATTATTGGTGAGCCGAAGGAACTTCTGTACGAATATCATTTGCTTTATATGCTAGGTGAAGGAAAAATCTTCAGGTTATTTTGAGGGTGATGTTAAATCTTTTTATGCACATAACCTAGTTTTAGTTAGACGACCGTATGTTTGTTATGTGCTATTTAAGAATTTTGGTGCAAGTTATTTTAAGTTATTTTACTTTTCAACTCAGATTTCTCAACCCTTTATGTCTGGATGAATAAACCTGAGATTTTTCGTCTGTCCTTTATCTCTCCAAGAGGTTTGTGTCCCATCAGCGCTAAGTGGATGAACGACCCTCTCATACCACCTGGAGACTGGTATAATAATCTATCGCAATGCAGATGTTGAAAGTCCCCGTGCCGTAATGGCAGTTTCGCACGTTCGGTTTCCCAGAAAAGCGCACATTGCACATCTTGCTTAACCCACTTATGGCCATCCAGCTGAAAGCCGATCTGACGTCAGTAAAGCTACAAAAGGGGGGGGGTCAGGCCTGGGGCTCCCGTGCTCCCATTGGGCTTGGCTGATGGCCCTCTGGGGAGCAGGAAGAGGCAGAGAGACACAGGCAACAGGAAGAGAGAAAGGCCCAAGGCTTTTCCCAGTAGTAATTCTCCTTAAGTACTCTTCCATTGTTCCCACGTGTTTTTATCACCCAAGCACGATCATTTTCCAATTTTACAATGATCGTGCTTTTGCTACGTCATAATTTAGCCCAACCCGTGGCTCTGTCAGTGTGTTTCTATAACAGCAATGGGGTCAATGATGCATTTCAGATACGCAGTCTTAAAACACGTGTATGATTGCGTATGGTGATGTAACGTGCAGCTGTACCCAATGAGCTGGCCAATGAATTTATGCTCAAAACAGGTAATGTTGATGTTTTATATGTATGATTTCTGTGAATTACCTTAAGCTGTAGTTTAGCTGTAGATGATTCATATCAGATTTAAAATATAAAACAAGATGATTACATCAACAGCAGGCTGGTGTAATCTCTTACACTTTAGCTAATTCAAAATGGCTGCAATGCCAATGCTTACCACAGAACTGCATGGCAATATTTTTACAGTTACCCTTAAAAACAAACGAAACTATTGTTATCCAGTGGATTATTTTGTTCTTAGTTTAAATATATTTCTGAGAAATTTCAGCAACGTAAGCTTTAAGGCGGCAGTGTATTTAAATAGCAAATTTTGTTGTTTGGTGAAGTGCACACGCTCTAAACATGTGCTTCGTTTCCTTCCATCTTGTCAGTCGTAGTGTCGTTTCATCTATGGAACTTATTTCCCACCCATATCGAATTTTGTCTTTTACTGCACTGAACCTGGTCACACGGTCGCATGTCCTGACATTATGCACACCGCGCTGCATGTGATAGACACCCAAAGTGGATAGAATGTTTTAGCGTTTCTCTTTAAATCGGCACTTAACGCCTTTCATGTGTGTCCCGCATGACATCATGGGCCAATTGATTATGGGCTGTATGCAAATCAGGTTTAGAGAGCAGAACATTTATTTCAAAGACCAAACACCCACACGGAGGCTTCGAAAATGTCGTGCTGTAAAATGTTTCCTGTTGTTCTTTCTGATAATATAAAAAATATAATTTCAGTTCACGGCTGAGGCTCGCCGGGTCTGCCCCCGGGCCTGGAGCAAACGCGTAGTGTTGACATGTTGCAGTAACTTCCACCACTTCTGTAAAGGTTTCTCTGCTCATTCTGGAATCCAGGTGGGCCCAGGCTGCACTCTCTCCCTCAGCAGCCCAAGCAGATGCCTCCTTCTCCCGCAGGCAGCGTTCAAACCAAGGCCGTCACGTCGTCTGAAAGCATCGCGTTAGGCCATGGCAGTTGAAACTGATGGCTGTCGTGCAGATCGATTTCGGCACGTTTTCCAATAATCGTGCTTTTGCTTCGCTGCAATTCCGCCCAGTCGCCAGCCTGTACCTCTCTTAGTGTGTTATGTGCCAAAACAAAAACATCATTAGTAGTCACATGGGGTCGATGATGCTTTTCAGATACGCAGTCTCAAGTCATAGAACACATATGTATCACTGAGTATGGTGATGTACACACATGACTAAACGCTGGACGGTTGATGGTTTTTAAAGGGCAGGCCCATCGCATCCTGTGTGTTAGTAAGCCGCTGTAATTAGACACGGTTTATTTCCTGCCCGGGCTCCTGTTTGTGCGTCTGCCGCGTGCCGGAGGGGCGGAGTCAGCAGATGTGCGTTAGCTAATGCAGCGCGAGAGCAGCAGAGCAGGGCAGGGCTAATAGACTACCAATAACAAGATGACATCATCGAGAGCAGGTCGGGGGGAGGGATCCAGCCAACCGGCGAGCCAAGCTCAGAAGAAAGGAAGGCTTGGAGGCACAAAGTGGAGAGGAGGCGAGAGGGAGAGACTGGGAGCCCGCTCCTTCAAGACTGACAAGGGAGACCTCACTCTCCGGAAGATTTTGCGAATTAAAAAGATAATTTTTCCTTCCGAAACGCCTCTCCCCCTCCCCCTCCCCTTTCCCCTCATCCTCCAAGTGCATCCCCCTACCAGTCCTTACGCTGAGCTGCTCCCCCGGGCATGCTACTTAAGCCAAAGTATGGCCGCTTTCGCAACGACTCTGTGACCTCCTCCGACGACCTGATGCAGAGCTTAGCCATGAGCAGCAAAGTGGTGGCAACTCCGGTCGTCCCCTCGGGCTCCCCGTCCCTGCCGCTGCCCCCCCTGGGCCGCAATCCCGGCCCCCCCGCCGCTCCGGCCCTGGCCGACTCCCCCGGCGTGGACGGGGACCAGGATGGGACCACCACCTTCTGCATGCTCATCCCCAAGATGCCACAGTGGAAGTTCTCCAACTCTCTGCTCAGCAGGAGTCCTTCCGGCTCCAGCTCCAGCAAGGACTCCAGCAAGGGGCCCCCCCAGGGCTCGGCGGGGGCCAGCGGGGCGCCACTCAGTGGCCCCGTGGCCAGCCTGGCTGCCGTCCTCAACTCCTGTGACCCAGTATGTGTCGCCCCGTGTTCCCTTCAGGCCGTTGCCCGGCAGCGAGCCGCCGCGGGCTCCAGCAGCCCACCAGCCCCCAGAGTGTCCGGCGCCGAGGCACTTGAGAGCAGCACGGGGACAGGGATGAACCGCAGGGGCAGGGTGGACGGCATCCGTGTGGGTGGGGAGGACTTCACTCAGAAGGGGAGCTTCATCCACAAGCCCTCCCAGGGATGGCTGCATCCAGACAAGAAGATCACAGGACCTGGCGCTTCCTACATCGTCCGGGTGAGTCCATCAAACCGCTCAGGTGCCTGTGCTTTCACTTTCGTGGTACTTTCACTAAAAAATTCCTAATTCAGGCATATGTTGGAATAAGTTTGGGGCTTGACACGACTTTTAGTGTCCCGTGATACGCTCTCGTAACTCAGAGCAGCTTATGTTTGTATTTGTGAGGAGGAAGATCGCCTATGTTTGGCTGTTTACGGCCATGGATGTGTGCTGTGTTGTTTTTAGTCGCTGTGCCCCCTGCTGGACTGAACTTGGGGTTTTCCTCCTCAAAGAAATTCATAAACCCGAAATGTACAACGCAAACAAGCATTAAGAATACTGGCATATCCGTACATTACATAGCTGTTTAGCGAGTTTGCGTTATATTTTGGGATTCGTAGTTTCCATGTCGTAATACTTAATTGTAAAATCATTGCACGTTTATTTTGTAACGTATCGGTGTACGGATGAATTGTGTGATAATTGTGAGTCAGTCGTGGACTTTCTGTATTTTCATTGCCAATCTGTTAGATTAAATGCCCCCAAGAGCTGATCTATACAGGCAAACACAGATAAAGTTCAGGAAATAGACTTCGAATTATGTAACAATCACTTCAAATACAACAATAGTGCACATATATATTCTGCTTGATATTCCAGTATTAGCTATTACTTGTGTGGGTTTCTCATTAATTTTATGTTTATCTGACCAGTGCAAGGTTATGCACACACAGGCCCTGCAACTGCAACCTTTTACCTTGTGTGTCAGTTACACAAATATATTATCGTTGTATCTGTGTCCTCACTCATCTATTTGTATATTTGAAAATGAGCATTACTGTGTGGTTATAGCACATGCAGGACTTCAAATTCAGACTACTTGACGCCAGTATCAATGATCTCCCTCATCACCCTGCAACCCCACATTGACCCTGGCAGCAAACCGATACGGACCCTTATTATCTCGGGCCTGCGCCAAAGCACGCCGTCTAATTGCATTACTCGAGACCCATTCATTCCTACATTCAATTAAATTTAATTACACTCATTTATGTCACGTGTTATGGGGAAGAAGCGGGGCGGAGCGGCGGTTTTTTTTTCATAGCTGATATGCGATGATAATAATTTACTGTCCCCGCCGATGAAACGGGCGCAAATCGCGCACTATAGTGTTCTTAATATAAAGACGTATTAAAATGGCTAAATATTGCCTGGGCGTTATGAGTTTAGGGTAAGAATATTTCTTTAGGTATTAGCAAAATTCTTAAAGGTCGGGGGAAAAAATCCAGATGTGCAACCGAAATAATTTGCAACCATGTATATATTTTAACTTTGCCTCACTGCCGTGGCATAAGTCACCTTTCCGTTCGGGCTTCCTGACAGCGAAATCTGCCCCAGCGTCGTAACGTTAATTCCCCGGCGCTGCGCCGCAATGCGCTTGTGAAATTAAAAACCATCCGCTTGGCAGTCGGCGAGGATTGCTTCACGCTTCCTTTTATCTTGATTAAAACAAGAGAAAGCTCGTTGTGATCGGGGACTTTCATCGCGCGCAGGGGCCGCTCTATTTCTGTCACTTCTGTTTGAAGATAAGCAAATTCATAAAACTGACTTCCTTTACCGTTTACGGCTGTTTCCTAAAGAGCACGGTTTCGCTGGCTCCGAGTCGTGTACGTTTCTTAGCACAGGCACTAGTATTCACTGGATTAAGCGTGCACCAGAACATCCGGTTCTACCTGCCTGAAAACACCGTAGCGCTAGTGTTGAATCGGCAATGTGCTTGCTGTTGCAAACTGGGCTGCGAAATCTTGGTTTGTCAGTGCAAATTGATGAATATTGATGGTGGTGTGAGGCTGCGGGTGGAGGCAGACAATAAGGGCTTTGAAAAGCAGAACATGTGTTCCCAATGTAACTCTTCCCCTTTGTGTTCTAATCTTGTTAAAATGCCCAATGCTCTTGCAAGGATATGGATCCTTCAGAGGGCCTGTCGGCCAGTATACTGTATGTGTGTGTTGTCCGTACTCCATAATTCATTATTTCAGTGTGTGCTAACCTGTCCCATCTCTCTTCTGGCTACAGCTGATGCATTTGTTTATGTACTGTAGTTTGTTGTGTGGTGGGGGGGGTGCCCACAGAAACCTTTGGTAAACATTACCAGCGGATGGGGGACAGCTATGAGTAAGTGTATGGTAGTATATTAGCATAATTGGTGCACTTGTTGTTGTTTATCGATGTGGTTATTGAAGTCTTTTTATTTTTTGCTGAAGTGTGGGCGTGTCCTCAGTTCCACCGAAAGAAAAACGCATCATTATTTCAGTGAAACTGTCACAACATTCTCTACAGCATCTGCAGGTTCTGGGTTGTTAGGTAGTTTTAAGGGTTACCAGCATGCCGATGTAGTTTGTGTGCCGTGTCTGTCGTGAAAGTGAGACCATATTAACACTGGTTAACTACATGAAATGCCATTGGCCATCACACATTCCTCGCGCTTCTGCGTCATGGAGGTAGTTTAGTCATTTCTGCTGACACTATGTGAGGATATATAGGTGAGCCAGTCTTCCTTCCTGATGCTGCTTGATTAAATTTGTTCAGTCAGGGGTGCAGGTCGGGCAGATTCATAACCGCGCTGATCGGACCGAGAAAACAGAGTGGCAAATTATTTTGTTAAAATGTGGGTCTTTATACTTCGATGCAAGACGTCTGTGAATCACCCCATTATATAAACATTGTACATATTTTGGCGTGATACTACTTCTGCTTACTTTATTCACACTGAATCAGTCAATAAGGATTCCCACATCTTCACACAAAACACCTCCCAGCATCCGTGACCTGGAACTTAATGCATAGCTGACATCTTAACGGCCTGGATCATTGCTTATCTGTTCAAAAAACAATTATCCTCCTCAGACTGCCAATCACGACGTCATTCTATGGGAGTTCTAGAAAATAATTATTGTCTAGAATGACATTAAGTCAAAGTATTGTTCAATTATGACCAAGTGTCAGTCATTTGTGCTGGCGCATGCAGCTGATGCCGTGCAATTCACAAATGCTGTTTGTGATAAACGGTTCAGTTTCAGAATCCGGTTTTAGCTCGCTGACATTTCTGATTGACATTTGACATTAGAAGGTCTCAGAAAGTGAATTTCACGCTAACTTTACGGCATAATAATATACAAAATATCTCCAAACGGATGTGAACCAAAGCATTATTTTCCCCTTCTTTACAGTACATGGGCTGCATTGAGGTTCTGAAGTCTATGCGATCTCTGGACTTCAACACTAGAACACAGGTGACAAGGTGAGTCGGGGTCCACTCTCTCTCTGTTGTCTGTGAAATCTACAGAACCCATAAAAGGACAAGGTTAGAAAATATTATTTTAAAATAATTTTGCGTTCCCTCCCGAAACATTTCCGTTCTGCAAAAACAATTGCGAGTGAATGCATAAGTTCTGCAAGGTAACGTAAAACTGTTCAAAAATACTCTCCAGCTCTGTCCCCTTATTTATGGGTCCGGTAGAAATTAGATCAGATTTCTTCCATAGAAAAAAATATATACTTTCAATCAAATGCTGACGTGTGTAAAACACCCAGACACATACGATTTAGTAGATTTATCACTAGTTAGAGTTTACTGCTCGAATACAGCTTGAATAATTGAGTACAATTAGTGTCAATGTTCTGTCAGTTTATCATGCATCTTGATGGGGTCTTCAGTGGAAACACGAATGTTTGGACGACAGATTTTTAATAGATGGAGATTTGCACTAAAGTGGGTTTATGTTTCAGGCTATTTTACATTTTGTCGGTTCAATTTTTCAATAGCTCTTATTTTCCAAAGAGCTGATCTTCCTCGTAGCCATTGTGCTCTTGTGTGCACACGCGCAAAACGTGCAAGCATGCACACATGGAGGTTTATGATGATGTGCTGGAAAACCGCCCCCCTCCCCCGCTCCTCCAGTCGATCGATACCGTAATGTGAGCTGTGGGCAGAGCAAGCGCTAAGTGCACCCAGAGCAGCTGAGATGGAGTGATAGAGATATATATTATCGATGATGCTCTCTAATGGCTGTGCTGCAGTGCACTAGGTCATATACAGATAGATGCAAGATGGTGGAAAGTGCCTGTATGGGTGGGGGGGGGTGCCAAACAAACAACCAGACAAAACAGTAAATGTGAAAGCATATTTGTCATGCTTAAAGACCAAATGTTACGGCATGCAGCTCACTGACTATAAAATGATGCTTCACCAGATTACACCAAAACACAGTAATCTGCTCTATAATGTCACTATAGGCATTGTGATAATAGACTTCAAAGCAGGAATATCCCAGTTTAGCTGCTTGAGGATGGGAGAATACTGGAATCAAATCGGTTCTGACAGTCATACCACCAGACCGACAAGCACAATCAGCGTAATGTTTATGACACAGGAATTCGATCAATCATTTTAACTCTTTTGATATGGAGAAGATGACACAGAAGATGCAGTCACATCTGGGAATGGTGACACAGTTCAGCCTCTCACCATGGATGGGTCAGCACAGTGAGAATCCTTTGTAGACCAGGTATCGTCTCACCATGCAGATAAACATATAGGCACGAAGGGGGGGGGGAAGCCACCCCCACATTCCAGGATTTGATGTGATTCCCAGGCCCAGACTCAGAAGACCTACACCCATCCTCTACATGATGCTTATTATTGTATGAAAAATATGAGCAGATGAAGCTGGTTGTTGTCTTAGTTGTCATCCCTTCACAGGGGATGAGATTATGAAAAAAAAACAAACCTGAAAGTCCTTAATGTAGAGGACAAGCTTCGCTTTTTAAATATTTATAAGCCACTTGATCCCGACTAAGCCCTTGACACAAGCAGCTGTCGCTGGTCCCTCCGGTGTCTTGATGCTGGCTCAGATCAGAGCATCATCGACCGCGTTCTGTCAGTCTGAGTGACGCCCTCTTACCAGCCTCTCCCCCATGGCTACCGAGTTTACCTTTAAATTTCCTCTTTGCTGCCGCCCCGGATTCTGTAGTTTCCCAGTTCAGGCCGCTTACCACCTGATTACGTTACTGCAGATTAGACTCCCCGTCCAAGCCGACTCGCGACACTCGGACCTGTAACCGTTCCGGCAGACCTGGTTCCCGCAGCTCTGACACCAGCTGCCAACCTGAAAGTTTGTTTGAGAGTTCAGTTTCGGCGAGAGTGATGGGGTGGGCACTATGTAAGCACCACCTCCCTCGTTTGAAAGAGATGCCTAATGGGATGTATTATTTTGCTAATGCGCTGCACTGAGGAAGAACATTTTTATGGCTGGATGCTGTTGCTAGGCGCTGTCTTATACAAATGGCTGACTGGAAATGATTATTATAGATATTGCTGAAAAGTACAGTCTCATTACACTGTCATACGCGATGAACTTGCTGTTTAATCTTAACTACTGTATATCTTGGCCAAATAACTCCAGATCGCCCTTTGTGTTCTGGGTGGTTCCCATCACGGGGTCTCCACATCGCCACCGTCAGGCACTTCAGTCTGGCTGGTGTGTCCCTGGGCAGATCTTTTTCAAGCCGTTGTCCGCTGTCCTTCTGTGATCTGACGCTCGTGACTCTGCTGCCCCGCAGGGAGGCCATCAACAAACTCTACGAGGCCGTTCCTGGAGTGAAAGGGGCCTGGAAGAAGAAGGTGAGAACCTCTCAGCACCAGCTCGTCTAAGCCTGGTTTTGTGAACGAAACGGGGGAACCGCCATTTTTTAATATATATTTTTTTTATTATTATTATGTATTATCGCAGGCCAACGGCAAAGCGCTGCAGTGCATCATGGGGAAGTGCAACCTGCGCTTTGCAGGCATGAGTGTCGCTGTGAATATCTGCGTCGAGGGCCTGAGCCTGCTGGTCCCCACAACGCACCAGGTCAGCGCCCCGCCAGACGTCCTGGCTCAGTGCTGGAGAAACTAACATCCACTGCAGAAATGGGGATTTCCGGCCTCCCACTCTAGGCCGACCTTCTTTTTTCTTCTTTAGATTTTACATAGATTTTCTCCATTGAGGCAAGATACGCTTCATGCCGCTCGTCTGAATAGCCGAATCATGCTGTTTGTTGAGGAAATGATGATTGTACGTCGGCTGTCCCGTGGAGGTCCAGAGAATGAGAATCACTTTGGATCTTGACTGATGGCCTAAGTGACCAGGTTACCCGCCCCAATCCGGTCCTCGGAGACTCCCTCCCTCTCCTTTGCTCCCTCCAGCTCCCTGACAGTCAGTCCACATTTTTGCTGGGGGATGGAAGGGAGCAGAAATGTGGTCTATGAGTCCCCAAGGACCAGATTGGGAAACACTGCTCTAGAGCGACCCCTGCTGGTGAGAAGATGCATCCAGGACCCCACTGAGCGTGATGCATCACTCTGTGAAACGGGCACACTGCCCACAGCAGGGGCGCCCAGTCTTATTCGCAAAGGGCCGGTGTGTATGCAGGTCTTTGGGATAACCTGTAGGTCAGCTGTTCAAACCCAGGTGTGAGGACTCTTCAGCCAATCAGTCCTCTAATTAGTAATCTAATTAGGGAGTTGCAGCGAAAACCCGCATACACACCGGCCCTTTCCGGATAAGACTGCCCACCCCTGCCCTAGATCGGTGAGGTGGGCGTGTGGATAACATGAGGGTGCGTAAATACCGGGTCCCCTTGGTGTGCGTGTCACGCGTGGAGCGGGGGACATGCAGGCGGTGGCATGACTGGCGATGCCAAATTGAGGAAATGATGTGAAACAAAAGAAATGACAATGTCACTTATAATAGCACGTCCCTCAGGAATCGCTGAAGTCATATTTGACTCATATTACTCATTATGGATCTCCCTCTGCTCTATCTGCCCGATTGTTGCATTTATAAAGAGAAATTTGTTATTGCTCTGTTAATAATGTATTGCAAAGACTAATTATATTCCACTCTTCTTCCTTATATTACGGCACTGCCGTGCATTTTTCATTTAAAACATTAATTGCTTCACTGAGCTGAATATTAAATACGACGGTACATGGTTAGACAGTGTCATTTATATTTCACACATTAAACATATTCATGATGATACTATGGATGACAAATGACAATAGCTGGTTAGATTTAATAAAGACAAATTGCCCGTTGATGATGACTAAGTATTTTTCAAAGACCTTTTTTTCATTCACATCTGTATATTTTATTTTTAAATTGTTTATTCATGTTCTGTTTGTACCTTCACATTCTCCCTCATTCTGCCCCTTTCGCTGCGTCTCTCTGCATTTGCAGTCAGATTCTGAGCTGCTGTAACATCCTACTGTGAAGTACCATCTCATCTCTCACAGTGTAGAGCTCTGCTCTGCACTTTTTTACTTTTCACATAATATCACTCCGTCCTGTTCTTTTGAAATGTCACGCTTCCATTTCTTTGTGCGTGTTCAGGCAGAATTTACTCATGCGGGAGTGATCGTCCCCGTCGAGTCAAACGGTCCCCTCTGAGATCGAACATGATGACCAGCTGGTTGATAAACAGTCTCATTTGATGCATGAATTATTTGTTTGTTTGTCTTTTTCTGACTAGGTGATCGCTCACCACCCCATGCAGTCCATCTCGTTCGCCTCTGGGGGAGACACGGTGAGGAAGGCCAGCCACGGCACCATTTCACGGTGCTTTAAATTCAATTTGGCAGCCTTCACTGGGCGATTTTAACTGGTGGCTGAATTCGTTTTCAGGACACACCGGATTATGTGGCCTATGTGGCTAAAGATCCTGTCAATCAGAGAGGTAAGAGTCCGCCCTGCCTGACCGTAGCATCATGGGAAACGTAGTCGATGGTTAAAACTACATTCCCCAACACCCTTCTTGGCCCCCACTCTCCCAGCCTGCCACATCCTGGAGTGCTGCGATGGCCTGGCACAGAGTGTCATCAGCACCATCGGCCAGGCCTTCGAGCTGCAATTCAAGCAGTATTTGCACAGCCCTCCGAAGGCCATTTCCGCCTTGGACAGGTGAGGGCGCCACACTCAGCACCCATAGCAGCTGCTGTCTGTGTGCCGACATGAAAACACGCCAGTTTTGGTAAATGCATGTGTGAGCCTACATACATACAGTGCAGTAACCTTACATACATTCAATGCAATTAAAACAGAAAAGCATGGTTTATCGAAACACTCCTGGCATTAGTCAACCAACATAGCTCTTCAAGTTAATGGTCTCACCTGTCATAAAGTTATCACAGCTTTAGTATGAGTCTTTATACTTTAAGCTTTTTACCCACCATCCATCCTTCCATCCATCCATACATACATCCTTCCATCCATCCATCCATACATCCAGCCAGCCATCCGTCTTACATAATCACATATCTAGTAGAGCAGTATTTCCCAACCCATTTCCAAGGGACCCCCTGACAGTCCCCTCCCAGCACTCTATCAGGGAGCAAAAACATGGACTGTCTGTGTGTCCCCGAGGCCCAGGTTGGGAAAGGCTGCGGTAAAGGGCCGCATCCATAGACTATTTTTGTTGTCTGTGGGGCTTAGGAATATTAGGACTGGTGAATCGGCGTGGGGCGACGATGAGGAGGCCTCGGAGCACGACTACTACAACAGCATCCCGGGGAAAGAGCCCCCGGTCGGGGGCCTGGTGGACTCCAGGCTGAGACCCGCTGGGGCCTTTCTGGGCCACATTCACTCCCAGCCCCCCAGCAAGGCAGCGCAGGTATGTCTCTGGTGCTCATGGCTGTATTTGCACACACATTTTGTACTTTTACCAAAATAAGCTGCGGCCAGTTCAAAGTGTCACGATAGCTGTATCAGATGCATGACTGCTTTATCCAGGAAATGAGCTGCATTAGACGGTGACGTTAAAATCAACGCTCCTGGTTCCTTGAGCCTTAAATATGAGTTGACATTTATTACAGCAGATTAGCCAGCAGCGACTTAGTATTTTAACATTTGTGGGACATCTGCTTTGTCAGTCAGGGTCTTCCTCAAGAAGAGATACTGCCCACCCCCCTGGCCAGTTGTGCTATGAGGTCCACTGGGACACGGAGATTAATAGTGGCTCAGGTGAGACCCCTTGTGGTGTGTGTTGGTTCTGCAGTACATTCTTTCACCCATCCAAGCATCTCCCATAGCCGCTTATCCAGTATAATACCAAATATATGTATGGTCAGTCATCAGGAACAGTTTTTTCATTTACTCTCATGTACTTTAGTGTGGTTTCATTTTGAGTGTGTCTGTAGTGGAAAGAGAGATTTTCCATTCCTGGTGAATATACTGGATATATGAATGACTTCTATAGACAGACAATTTGGTTTTTAATGGAATAACACCAGTGTGTGACCAGTGTTTGCCACATGCCGTGCAGGCCTGACCTCGGACGGGTACCTGCGTGCGGACGGCCACGGTCCCGGTAGCCGTGACTACGAGGAACACCTGTATGTAAACACTCAGAGCTTGGAAGCCTTGGAAGCGATGGCCGAGAGAGGCAGGAGCGCGTGCTGCCCCGAGAGCCCCAAGAAGGACATCTTCGACATGAGTGAGTCCCGCCTTCTCTGGTCTGGGAGTCATGCTGACTGTCCAGCCGGACGTCCTGTACAGAATATAGCAGAATGAGATGACTGATACACGCCAACTTTCAGAGCAGAGACACTGATTTATATATAGAGTCCCCCAGCAGTCCCCCCTCCCAAAGAACTGGGCCTGCTGCTGTGCTTGGCTGTCTACCCCAAGGGCATAACTTTGGGTTGAGTGTTGGGGGGGGGGGCGTTAAGAGGGTCTAGGGGGTTGTATTGGCTGGTTTTGATAATTGGGGGGGGTTACAACCCCCTCATCCTCCCATAAGTTATAGTCTCCACCCATCATGTCCATGGAGAGAGAATTTGATATTGGGGGGGGCAGCTTAATAATTTCAACATAAAGGATTATTTTTTGTTTGTTGGGGGGGGGGGGGGGGGGGGGGGTGTGGGGGGGGGGGGGGAGTGGATGAAGCCAAAATAAATATTAGGGGGTACACATCTCACGCCCCTGACTCCCCAGGACCCTTCGAGGACGCCCTGAAGTTACACGAGGCCAGCGGCGCCCCCGTGCTGGAGGAGCAGTGGCCCAGCCCACCCAGGCGGCGCGCCCCCATCGCCCCCACCGAGGAGCAGCTGTGCCGCGAGCCCTGGTACCACGGCCGCATGAGCCGGCGCGACGCCGAGAAGCTGCTGGCGCGCGACGGCGACTTCCTGGTGCGCGACAGCGCCACCAACCCGGGCCAGTACGTCCTGACAGGCATGCACTGCGGGTTGCCCAAACACCTGCTGCTCGTGGACCCCGAGGGCGTGGTGAGCGAGGCCGTGCCAACCAGCAGATACACACAGCTTATTGTATTACAGAACGCTTGCTGACATTTATCCCATTAAACAGGATCCATCTTTCAGCTGCGGGAGTGGAAAAGATTTTGATTAACTGATTGGCCTTTAATTAGACATCCAGTACCAGTCAGAAGTGTGGACACACCTACTGAAAATCACCTATTTATCAACAAGATACAGAGCCTAAGCTCACCTCGAGGTTGTGTAAGCATGGTTTTATCTTGTGCACAAGGAAAGAGATGGATTGTAGTGACAGATGACCTGGCCCCCACAATCCCCCCCCCCCCCCACCTGAACCCTATAGAGCTGCTTTGGGGTGAGTTTGATCAAAGAGTAAAAGCAAAGTAGCCCAGAGTTTGTGGAAACTTCTTCAAAACTGCTGGAGAAGCCTTCCTGGTGATTACATCTGGAAGCTGGTTGAAAAAATGCCAAGAGTCAAAGCATCGAAGCAATTTTGAAGTCAAAAATCTGAGAAAATCTCGGTCATTGCAATATCTGATTAATATTACTTTATTGCCTCGAGGCCTTTTACCTAAAAGGTGAATAACAGCTAAAATAGAGACAAATGTATTACAAGCCGGTGTGTCCAGACTTTTGACTGGTACTGACCCACATAGGCAGGGCTGGAATGGGTAAATTTGTGAAGCATTTACCCTGCCTGAATGTATGGCCCTATTACTGCTCTGCACATCTGAGTGCACTTCTTTAGAAGGAAGTGCGCCCCCTACTGTTCAGTTGGGATCACACTCAGTTATTTCTGCATGAGAAAAGTCAAACTGCATCCCCTAAGGCACTACATAGGGGGAAGCTTTCATCTGTCACAGCTGCATTTCGGCTGTTTGCTAACAGACAATTTTAACACCTTCGCCTTGACAGGTCCGGACAAAGGACATGCTGTTCGAAAGCATCAACCATCTCATAAACTACCACCTGAAAAACAAGCTGCCCATCGTGGCTGCAGAGAGTGAGCTGCACCTCCAGCAGGTGGTCTGTAGGAAACAGTGACACTCGCCCCCGCCCCCCCCCCCATAACATTCGTGGTGGTAAGTGCACAGGCCAAAGGGGCGGCGCTCTCGGGGCGGACAGATCGCTCTGATTTACGCCCTGTACCCCTCGTTCAATGTCTCCCAGCTCTGCTTCGAGCCTCTCATCTGTTTCGCTTCTGCACTTTTCCTCGTTTCGCTGGCGGCTCTATGAAACTGACATCGATTTAAAAATAAACGGAAAGCAGTGGCCTTGAGAGAGCATTTCTCGCCGTGTTGCAGGATGTGAACGGAGCTCTGCAGCTCCCCCCTTTTGCAGGAATGCGCCATGGACCCTGAGAAGCAGACCGATGCTGCCCTTGGCCAGTCCCAAGCACTAACATGGAGCTTCATCTACGAGAACGTGCCCCATGGTGCGAGTTCCCCCAGGGGGCGCCATTGGCACCCTTGAGAATGTACGTTTGGGGCCTGATCTGATCTGATTGATCTGGAGTGATGCGAGCGGATCTCAACGGTATCTCAGAAGTCTTAAACTGCTTCTGGAGAACCGCTCGAAAAGGAGCTACGGCAGCTTGGTATTGCTTTTCTTCGTCCGAAGGGATTCGTTTTTTAAGCCCAGAGCCTGAGTGAAGCTATATTTTACCCAGGAATCCATGACGCGGGAAGCCGGACGTGGTGGATGACTCTGAGCGAGAAAATCCCTCCGTGTCCCTGCACTGCGACAACGTCAGCTTGCCTGTAAGGCTCCTCTGAGTCAGGATGACCTGCTTCTTCTCACAGGTCTTATAGCTCGCTTGGAGGTTCACTTTACTCACTGTTTACTCACTGCTTATGCTGTTAGAAGAACCTTCCTCTGGCGAGAAACACAAGCCCTGTTTTACGGTCAGCCTTATACAACCAGTTAGGAAGTTTACTGTTGGTGGCGTAAAACTTCCCAACCTGTTGAATTTCACCTGAGAGTTTGATGTTGAAAGCGATGCTTTGGTTAGTCACTTTTGACTCCAGATATTGTTTATTTTATGGCAGCATTATGTTAAGCTTTACCTCAGGACCACATATTGAGTTCCGTACGATCTTCCTAATTTACTGACTCTCTTCCCAATAAAAAAGAAAAATGACCATTAATTCTGACCAGTATTGCACAACGACTTTGCCAATATCCAGATTCTGTGAAGCTGGACTTCTCATTCTCCTGCTAGCCCCCGTGACCCCTCTGCTCGCATGGAGGAGAGCCAGGCCCTGCGCTCGCAATCCTCTTAGCATGTCGGTGACACACAGCGAAGGTGAAGCTGAACACTGGTGCTACGGATGCTGGTCCTGCGGAGCCTGGTGTTGTGTATGGTCACATTCCACTCGTTCTTAGTTTTCCAGAAAGGATAGATCCGGGGTGCAGACAGGAAGCGGCTTCCACTCTCTGTCCTTTAAGTGTCATTGTTTCATCTTGCTTGTCCTACGACCAGGTCTCTCCCAGACCCTCTCAGACCGTGAGCTTCGAGACCTTGTGTCTAAGCTTGTCTCTGTGTGCCGTCAAGGAATCAGCAAACAGATCAAGTCAGCGTATATATTAATGCAGAATATCAGTCCTGGTATCCAGTACCCCTGAGAAACACAGAACAGTGCCTTAATGGTCTCCGTGCCCATCTGAAATGATTTATGTTGAACAGAAAGTAAAATTCCTCATGTTTTTGGATATATGTGTATGCATCTTGTGTTTGGAGTAGTCAGTGGTGATGGCAGAGTTAAAGCTCGGTCTGCCCCAAAATTCCTAACGATTAGATTTATATTGATTAAAGGTAAACGTGTTTCATTTCATTTCAAGTCCTGTATAATTTATTCATCTGCACCTATTCGGAAAAATGGTGACAAGATGCTGGCTTTGCCTTCCTTTGCAGTGCACATTCGGGCTGCTGGTCATCCAGCAAGTACGTGCTAGTGATGGACAAAATGGTACTTCATGAACCATTTGCTATATTTCTTTGACCCCACTAGATGGTGCTCTCTGTTCAAAAAAGGGCACAAAGTGTGTCCCAAAGCATCCCAAGAGCACCATCTAGTGGGGTCAAAAAATACAGCAAATGGTTCATGAAGCGCCATTTTGTCCATCACTAGCATTTGATACTAGCAAATGAGCTATTGAGTTGCTGTTTGATGGGTCCTGCTGACCCAGAGGTCACTCGGCACTTGGCCAGGGAAGGAGGAATGCCAGTCATTTCCATGTTGCGCTGAACGCAGATCCCCAAAAAAAATTCCTCTGTGCACCTGCCTGCCATCTCAGGAGGTTCTTGCGTTGGCTCCTCTTTGAAAGAAATGCAATTTTCAATAAAACTCTTCCAAAGAAGGGAAACGTCTTCTGTGTGTTTAAAACTGTCAGGCTGAAGCCACTTTTCACTCTTGTCTGTGTCATTTCGATGCGATGGCCACCACAATTCAGCTGCTCTTTTAACGAATTTGCCAGTCAAAACCCTGTACAGCATGTGTACACTACTCACATCATGATTGACTGCAGCACATGCTACTTATGGAAAATGACGTCAGTTTGCTTGCAATCTAGCAAACCTTACAGCTGGCATCCCATTTACTGCATGGAAGGTCTGTATTGAAGTTCCTTTTAATTTGCTGTGAAAATGTGTGTGAGCATTTTCTCAGGACCGAATGAAAGTGGGTCACCTTTCATTTCAGCCGTCGTTTGAACCCTTTATCTTGTACACTGTACAGGGCGCTGAGGTGTCAGGCCTGGGGGGTGAAGATGGAAAGGTGTGTAGGACTAACCTGGGTAGGAAAGCCCACATCCTCTTTACCCAGAGCACCCCACACAACTTCTGAAAAGTGCTCCGAATTATACAAGTGTCCATCTCAGTAGGAAAAGCAACAAGACTAGATAAACTCACACGTCACTCCTCATGTTCTCTCTGGGACGAAGGTTTTCCAAATAACATTTATTTATTTTTTGGTGGAGAGATTTGCAGTTGTCACTGAGAATTTTGCAACCAACTAGTCTTTCCATGAAAACTTTTAAAACAGGAAAAATGTTCCACCTGTTCCAATTCCAAGTAAGATACAGGAAGTTATAAAAAGCTGAAAACGTCAGTCATTTGAAGACTGGGTGATCTTGGTGAGCAGGTTATGATCTTCGATCAGAAGAATCTGTAAAAAGCTTTCTGATGTTACTCTACAGACCTACAAAAACAATGTGGATAAGGAATGTCCTCACCATGATGTATTTTAGCACCCAAATGGTGGCTCCTCTGTCTCAGCTGTGTGACCCCTTTTCATTAGGATATGTGTGACCCTTTAGTGATGAACAAAACCAGCATCAGTATTTCAAACGGAGGCTCATCTGAAGGCTAAGGGGCTTTACATATCACAGCTCATTTAGTGTTATGTTTATGTGTGACTGTGTCAAGGTGACTCACATTCAGACGAGAAAGTTGCAGGTCATCATCTCTCTTTATTGTAGGAATATAATACAAAAGAAAGTCAGGCGGGTGGCTGGAAATGAAGGCATGAAATCGCTACCTGTCAGTGATTCAGACAAGACTGTCACGCCTCATTGCACTATTGTTGTCAGGGGGCAAAGGTGATGAATCAGAATTCTCTTCTTGGGTCCGACAACTAATATATTCCATCTAACGGTTTTACGCCGTAACTAGTCCGCTGCGGCACAAGGTTGGTTTTCAGTAGGAGGAGGTCTATTCGGGGGTGCAGCTTTCAGCCTTGCTCCTTCTGTGACATCCTGAGGATCTCCAGTAACAAGGCCTGCACCTCCCCGTCCATTCGACCCTGAGGGACACAGGCCAGGTCAGATACTGAGGACCAACCATCACGCTGTGCTGTTAAGTGACAGAGTCCCGGACACTGAGCAGCTCTCGTCAAACGCAGGCCGAGCGAGTCCGGACTCGAACAAACGCAGGCCGAGCGAGTCCGGACTCGAACAGCTACGGCTGGTAATAATTAGACTGTGTGGATGCAAACCAATTTTGTATGTTGGCAAGCTGAAGAATCTAGTGAGTTGCCCGCCCATCCATCCATCTATCTTCTAAACTCTATTCCAGCGCAGGATCATGGGATTAACCTCCCCAGGTAAATATTTCTCCTATGTTCAATATTTATCTCCCACTGATTCCTATGTGTAAGGATGTTCAGTATGACTGTAACTCAGGCCTCAGGTGAGATCCTCTGTGTGCAATCGGCATGTGCTGCTGACTGACCTGCACATGCTGCTGACTGACCTGCACGGCTGCTGACTGACCTGCACGGCTGCTGACTGACCTGCACATGCTGCTGACTGACCAGCACGGCTGCTGACTGACTTGCTCATGCTGCTGACTGACCTGCACGCCTGCTGACTGACCTGCACAGTTGCTGACTGACCTGCACAGTTGCTGACTGACCTGCACATGCTGCTGACTGACCTGCACATGCTGCTGACTGACCTGCATGGATGCTGACTGACCTGCATGGATGCTGACTGACCTGCATGGATGCTGACTGACCTGCACATGCTGCTGACTGACCTGCATGGATGCTGACTGACCTGCATGGATGCTGACTGACCTGCACATGCTGCTGACTGACCTGCACAGCTGACAGCAGGTGAGCGCGGTACACAGACACCACGGCCCGGTGCTTCTGCTCCCACTCCTGCCAACGGAGAAATCGGGGCTCAGACAGGAGAGACTATTCACATTACAGGTCACACTTTACTTGACGGAGCACAAATACTTAGTAATAACTCAGTTACTACTGAAGTACAAAATCATGAACGAATACAGTCGGAGCTTGAGATGAAAGATACATCACGATTCATTAATGATGAAGAAACGTGAGATCAGTATCTCACTTGTGTTTTTCATGATTTGTTCCTTCAGTAGTTCACAAAGGTTTACAGAATTAACAGATATAGTAACGAAAATAGTAACTGCTTAAGATAAAACGTGCGTCACAATTCATTAATGATGAAGTAACATGAGATCAGTATGTAACTAAGAGTTTGTGGTTAATTTATATATATAAGTAATAGCGTAATACTACATTATTTGTGCCCCGTCAAGTAGTGTTACCACTTTTTCTACCGCAGCTTTAAACAAAGTGTTGATCACATTTCATGCTTGATCTCCGAGCTAAAAAACACGGGGAGTATTCTTCCCCCACAGAGACGAAACCAACACTCAGCCACTGATGCGTGCCGCCCACGTAGGTCGTGACTGCCTCCATGTGCTGGTGCTTTGAAAACCGTCCTCTGCTGCCCTCACCTGGAGCTGCTGCGTAAGTACGGTCACGTGGTTCTGCAGCGCCACCTGCTGGCTGGAGGAGCCTGAAGAGGACAGGCCCAGAGGGGGAGAGAGAGCTCCCAGAGCCTCCTTGAGGCGGAATATTTCCTTGGACAGTTCCGTGATCTAGGGGAGAGGAAGGAAACAAAGCGCTCGGCAATCCAAGGTGCACAGTGAGTGACAGCCTCTCTCAGTGAGGTTCTCTGCTCCTTGGCCTCACCTTGCGGTCCTTCTCCTTGATCAGGCCTTGAGAGTCCTGGATGCCCTTGTGCAGTTCCTGCACGTGGCTGGACTGGGCCTGCAGGTCCACCAGCTGCTTCTGAGTGGCCACCAGTTGCTCTTCCGCTGCCTGGCGCTCACTCTTGTTGAACAGGGCCTCCCTCTGCACTTGGAACACCTGTGGGGAGGTGTGAAGGTAGGATGAAGGTGACAAGAGGAGGCTCCCAGCGGGAGGCCGGAAGGGGACGCTGCGCCACTCCCCACGCACCTCCGTGCAGGTCTTCTCGTGCTTGCGTGTGAGCTCCACCATCTGGGCGCCCAGGGCGTTGATCTCGGCCTGCAGGGAGACCCGCTGAGCCTCGTGGTCCTCCTTGGACACCATGCCCCGCTCGGCAGCCCTCTGGGACCTAAGTTCCTTCAGCTCCGCCTCCTTTTCACTTAGCACATCCTGGGCTGCCTGCACACTGCTCTCACTGTCCTGCAGGGAGCGCTCTAGCGCCGTCTGGCAGGTGGGATTCAAGAAGGAGAGCAGAGGTTATATGACAATATCAATTAAGTGCTTTTTGTATCTTCAATAAACAAAATTGTATTATACGTTATTATAAGATTGTTATTTCTGTGCTGTATGTTATTTTGGATATATATTTTAATACTGTATGTTTTAGTATATTGAATTTAAGGATGTAAGAACAGACTGTTTTATTGGCAGTCCAAAAGCTTTTAAATATCCACTGAGAAGCCCACACCTTTGCTTTGAATCTTCCCCACCTGCACTTTGTCGGTCACCTGCTCCACCACGAATACCTGCCCATCTCTCCCCGTTAAACTGTCTGTCCAAAGCCCTGAAGTGAGGAATCCACGGTTCCCAGCAGAAACCGCATCGGACCCCAGACCCCAGCAGGAAGCAGGACCTGCTGATGGAACTCCACTGTACGCCGGCAGCTTTCGCCATAAAGGCGTCTGACTACATGGTGAAAGTTTAGCCTTGTCTTGAATGAACTGTCTGCTTTTCCTAACCTGAGGCGTATGCAGGTAGTACGTCAGCCCCAAGCCCCCACAGATTATAAACCTTGGCTCTGTGCTTCAGTGTGCCACCACACCTGATAGAAGCACAACTTCTACAGTACCAGTCAGTCTGGACACACCTACTGAAAATCATTTGTTTTTCAACAAGATACCGACCCTAAGCTCACCTCGGGGTTAGGTAAGTACTGTATTATCTTGTGAACAAGGAAAGAGATGGAGTGCCGTGACAGATGACCTGGCCCCCACAATCCCCCCCACCTGAACCCTACGGAGCTGGTTTGGGATGAGTTGGATCAAAGAGTAAGAGCAAGGTAGCAACTTGTACCCAGAACTTGTGGAAACTCCTGCAGGACTGCTGGAGAAGCATTCCAGACGGCTACATCTGGAAGCTGACTGAATGAACGCCAAGAGTCTGCAATGCTGTCATTGAAGCAAAAGGAGACTATTTTGAACACTCTAAAATTTGGAAAAGTTTTGAGATGTTGATCACTACTCTTGGTTGCTGCAATATGTGCGAGACAATATTTGGTACTTCATTGCCTTGGGGGCTTTTACAGCTTAAATAGAGAAAAATGCATTAAAAGAATGTGTGTCCATACTTTTGAGTGGTATGTGCCGGAACGCACCTTGACTTTTTCATGCTCCTCTTTGGATATAAAGTCCCGTTTCGTGGTCTGCAGTTCCGCCTCCAGCCTGGATACTTCCTGCTGAGTGTGTCCATGCTTGTGTCTTTCTGCCTCGAGCTCCTGAGCAACTTCTTCCAGCTGACTGGTGAGTGCGGACAGCGCCTCCTGGTGCTGGGACAGTGGTACTGCATCCTTCATTTGCAGGGCGTCCTGTGCCCGTCCCTCCCGCTCTGCGCACAGGCAGTCGAGGGCCTGAGCCGCCTCCTGTCGCGCTACCTCCAGCTCCTCTCTCACCGCAGCCAGGGTGCTGCCGGCGGACATCTGAACAGAGCGATCTGATTGGATAGAAGGCATTTCATCACTCCTGACTTTGGAGCTCCCTATTGGCTGTGACAGAGCCACGCACGGAAACACATGGAGAGACATGCCTGATGTGATGGAGGGATCTGATCCCTCAGAATGCTCCTCCTCGTCCTCATCGTCCTCCCCGTCGCCCTGCGGAGGGGGCCGCAGCTTCTCCAGCTCCAACAGTGCGTCGTTTAGCCGCAGTGAGGCCTCTGCACGCTCACTGGCCAGCTGCTCCAGTTGCAGCCCCATGGTCAGCTGCATCTCCTCGAGCTCCACCCGGGGGACGCACTCCTGGAGATCAGCCTGCAGCTCCTCCACTTTGCCCTGCAGCCTACGCACCACCTCTCCTTCCTGCTCTCTGTCACCTCCTCCCTCGCTCTCCCCTTGCGCCTCCCTCTGTTCCAGGGTGGACTCCAGCTCGTGCACCCTCTCCAAAAGCCTCTTCATTGTGGCGTCCTCCTCTCTCTGCTTCTCTGCCAGGGCCTCCTCCAGCTCCTTCACCCGCTCCATCAGATGCTGCATGCCAGGGTGCTGGCCCTCACTGAGCTCCACGGAGAAGACCCCCACCTGAACCTGCTCCTTCAGCTCCTCCAACTCTGTCTGGGTCTCAGCCAGCCGCTGTTCCATCTCCTTCAGCTTCTCCTTCAGCTCGCCGGCACTCTCAGCCTCACCCTGCTCCCCCTCCATCTCCTGAATGCATCTGAACACAGCGAAACAAAGCTCTCCTCGGTACGCTCCAGAAAAAGAGGACACAGGTGTAAAAATGTTCACGCCAATGTTTTCTGCTGAAGGCAGTCGTATGTACCCCTGTTCTCCTGTCACGCTGGAGGCCTCGGCCACAGCCTGGGCCTGGGAGTAGCGCTCCTGCAGCTCATCGAACTCCTTCCTCAGGGAGTCATAGAGCACCGTGGGCACGAAGTCCGGCCCGGAGCTCTGCATGTCAGTGTCGTCCTTCTCGAACGTTTCCAGCATCTGCCGGCCAGGGAAAGTGTCAGTGACAGACAGACACCCCGAGCTGTTAACAGCGGACCCCAGTGAGCCCTTTGACAACAGCTACACACTCCGGACATGCCTCCTAACATGAACGGCTTCCCTCCCCCAGCCCAGCTCTGCTCCAATGACCTTATTTCCGGAGCCATAATTCTCTTTGGATAGAGTCACGTCTCCAGATATCACTCCCTGCAAGTGACGTCTTTCTGACCCATTTTTCACTCTCTTCTAGAAAGCCCAATCCACTTTATGAAAAATGACTGCAACCCCCTCTCTACTGGCTTTCTATTTATATCTGGAAAAAACATAGTGGAGCTCTACTGTTTACTGACTGGCTCTGGACCCCCGACCCTGCATATGGGTGCAGAAAATGGATGGATGGATGGATGGATGGATGGATAGTCCTTCTGGTCCCATGGGACCAGCTTCCCTGTGTGGTCATATGTCTACTAGGGGCAACGGGCATCCAAACCTTGACTTTGAGGACCAGCTCAGTATTCTGGGCAGTGAGCTTCTCCACCAAAGCCTCCAGATCCTTCCGGCTGCGAGGGCCGGAGGAAGACTCAGACTCTCCATGGGAGGCGGCGTCAGCCTGGCCTGGTTCCGACTCAGGATCGGAAGCCCGGGAACGTCTGGAGAGCAGTCGGTCCGCACCTGGGATGCAGACAGGAAGCGGCATTTTGGCGTTTAGCGCAGTCAAAAATCAACATTTTTGAGAAGCCAACTACAGCCAACAGTCTCACACAACTAAGTAATTCAGAAGTAATTCCCAGTAAGTACTTCTGCCTCCTGAGAGATGAGGTAATCAGGGGCAGTGCAGGAATAAACCACCAGTAGGCAGTAAGATGCGGACGACCCAAACCTCCACACCTACTTCCCACAGAGCCAAACACACTGCCCACCCGGGAAGTCCAGCATGTCCTCCATGTCCTCCGAGTCGCTGGCCGCCTGTAGCCCTCTCAGCTCCTCCATCTCTGCCGTCAGCCGCTCTCGGTCGGCTTCGGCCTGCCCAAGCCGCTCCCTCAGCAGACACAGCTGGGCGAGAGGAGCGGCGGTTCTGAGGGTGCAAAGAGACCCCAAAGACACACACACACACACACACACACATATGCAGGCTCTGTGTGAAGGGTTGGGGGTGCAGTACCTCCTCCAGTGCAGAGTGGGCGCTATGCTGCTGCTGCTCCAGTCCCTTGATTTTCTGAAGCAGGCGTCCCCGTTCCAGCCTCAGCCTTCGGATCTCTTCGAACACCTCCTCATCCTCCGTCTCATGGAAATGAAAGTTTACAAACCAATATTTGTTCACAAATACACATATTGCATTCCTCATTATTTACAAAAAAAACACAGAATTTTAAGCAGGTCTTTCCTTAAAACCTCCTCTTTTCTCCTCATCCTAAAGTCAGTAGTTTCTGTTCACTTATGCACTGATTTTAGGACATATTTCTAAATGTAAAAAAAAAAAAATGTAAAAGCTTCACCATTTACCCAAATCAAACCCTGTAAAATTTCCCATTTGTTGCCCTTTTTCTGAAGGCCCTTATGCACATGCTGTCACTCACAAGGCTGGCCTGAGGGGGGCGCTGTATGTCAGGGGATTGAGCAGCCGGAGAGGGCCTCTGTGGCTCCGGGGAAGTTGAAGAGCCCTGCAATAATGGATAGGAGACCCTTTCACTCAATACATCCCCTGGATTTTATGGTGCATCCTATGAATGACATACAGGCACAACACTGAGATTCAAGCTCAATGTTTTATACAGTAGATACACAGTGCAGAGGTGAATTTTTACTTTCTGGACCTGGACACTCCACCTCTGGCACAGTGTGAGCCACACATGCGCTACGGCCCCAGACAGAGAAACCTTGTACCTGAGAAGGGGAGCTGGGCGGAGGGGGGGCCTTCCGCTTGCGGGGTGTGGAGCGGCCAGGCAGCGGAGGGGGCGGCGGAGGCTGCAATAAGTGACAAACACACAAGTGACAGGGGGAGAGGAGCAGGACAGAAGCAGATAATCACAGGTCAGGGAAGGCAAAGCCGAAAGCAGCTTTCTGTCACCATCCCTAGTTCAGAAGGCTTCTATAACAGCTGACTGTGCCGCTCTACTATTACAGCTCAAAATATTAAAGAATAACTCCTCACAAAAAAAAAAAACAGTAAATAAATTCAACAGATTACAGTCCCAATCTCTGCACAATATGAATTCTTTAAAATCGACTCATGAGCTTGTGGTGTTACTCACACTGAAGGCTATGTTCAGCAGCTTGGGGTTCGAGAGGAGACTCGAGATTCCCCGATACCAGAAGCTCGGCGAGGTGGGAATTCAGTGTGCAGTGAGTGGTAATGAAATCTGATTTACCTGCATTACAAAGCACTGAGCAGTTACCTCCTCTCCTGCGCCCTCCTTGGCTACGTATGCAGGGGGGAGAAGGAGACAGGGGGACGTTTATCCTCTAACTTACTTCCCAAAAGCACATAGTTCCCTTTTTTAACAATGCAAACAAAACGCATTCTTTTGCTGTTCCTCAAATTCTCCAACACGATGCAACAATCAGTCCAAGAAGGGTTAACACACACTTATAAATGTAATATTTTCTGGCCAGATAAATTCAGAAAACTAAAGCCAGCAGCTCTCCATCTATGAATAACTGCCAATGTCTGCCACAGGGATGAACACTTCAGGTCCAGAAGGTAAAAATCCAGACTAAGATTTTGTTTCAACCAACCAGTCGAGAATAAAGAGCCACAGAGAGAGATTCCTCAACTGGTTGGGTGAAACAAAATCTTGGTCTGGATTTTTACCTTCTGGGCCTGAAACGGCCACCTCTGCTCTGCCACAGTTATGTCCATCTGACATCCAAAATCTTGTTTTTCATTGCATTTTTGTTCATATCTCTCATACTAAATATGACAGTTAGCTCTGTACTCTGACACCACATGTGTGGTGGTGTGACCTGGCCAACTTCCTCTTCCTGTCAAATCAAAACTTTAATCAATAATAAAAAAAAAATCTCTTTTTCCCCTGGATTTCAGGAGGGTGCAGTTTTAGCAGGAGGGTGCCTTGTCATTTAAAAACCCAAATCAGATGCCATGTTTACTGCTCCGCCTTAGTGAAAGAAGATCTTTGCCCACAGAAGTAAACAGTATAGTTTGTAAGTTTGAACCCTTTCTCCGCTACTTTTCTTTAAACACGTTTAAGAGAAACCGCAGTAAAGATGGATGTCGTTAACGTTTATCGAGCAGCGATCCGGTGTAATTTTTACTAGGGCGATAATGTTAGGATATCTCGAAGCTGTAGATAAATGCTCTGTCATGCAATGATGATCTCACCACCACGGCAAAGCGGAGACACCGGGGAAGGTGCGACGGGACGTGTGACACGCGACGGCACCCCGGGATTCCCCGCTTGCTCTTACCTGCGTCTTGCAGGAGGCGTGTGATGTACCGGTTGCCGGAAACGACGCTGTAGTGAGCGGCACTGTGTCCCAGGGCGTCGGTCTGCAGAGGGTTGGCTCCACCCCTGAGCAGCACCTCCACCGTCTCCACGCTGTCGCTCTCACAGGCCAGCATGAGGGCCGTCCTGGAGGACAAGACAGGGATGCAACTGGGCATCACTATAAGCGTGGGGACACGGGCTCCACCCCACGGGGAAGTTCCGCGCCGCTACCGCCGGCATCGTGGCTGTTGTGAGTTTGGCCCTGGAGCCAGCAGAGTATCCTGAATGGGATGCAAGTTCTACCTGAACTGCACAGAAAAGTAGAGGCATCACTGAGAAGAACCTCCTTCTGCCAAATCGTTTCCTCACGTACCTCCCCTGACTGCCAGTTTGACAGGGAACTCAAGTTCTACCTCTTCAGCTCAGAGTTGCTAATGAGGAAGCTGTCCTGGCTGCGCTGTGAGGCTCTGCGTGTTCGGACCCGTGTTTGGAAAGTCATTGGTTCAAATTCCGTGACTGGCTGAGTGATGCCGCTTTTGGGCTCTTGAGTAAGGCCCTTAACCCCACTGCGTGTTTCTCAATACCAAGAACACAAAGATCGTACTTATGGTCTTCGCAAGACCGCTCTTGCTAACTTGCCTCCCAAGAATGAACTTGGGGCGCAATGAATCATGGGATTGGTCTCGTTTGGCGAGGATACAACAGATGTATCCTAGATATCTGGGGTGGGGCAAGACCAACATCTGGTCTTTTTTACCGTCCTCTGTACTTTCCTTCTTAGTATTGGACCTGGTCTTCGGCGATGGAAGATGACATAAAACAGGTGTGCAAGAACACAAGTATGGTCAAGTATGCATATTGAAAAACACCCTCTGTTTGACCCTCACTTGTGTGTCGCTTTAGTCAAAAGCATTCGCTAAATAATTGAATGTAAATCTTTAACACGCTGTGATTGGTGGGTGATGCGCTGCGTTTGGGGGGTGACATGTTGTGATTGGTGGGTGATGCACTACGATTGGTGGGTGACGCACTGTGATTGGTGGGTGAGGGCAGCTCCCTACCGGCCCTGGTTGTCCTGCAGGTTGGCCATGGCCCCACGATCCAATAGGAAGGCACACAGTTCCACGCGGCTCATCTGTGCACCCAGCAACAGCGGTGTAGCCCCGTCCTGAAGGCAGAGTGAATGATACATATAAATGTTTAATAAAAGGATCAGTAATCTGCTGATAAGTATCAGGTTACCATTTTCCTTAGAGACAGGCTATTTTCTTCTCTTTTATCTACCAAACTCCACGCACCAATCATATCACTGCTCAGAAGATGCGAGCACAAGCACCCCCGCGATATCTTCTGCGCAGTGATATGATCAATGTGTGCTTTTTCTAGCTGGTTTAGCTGGCCGTACCAGCATGGCCAACTGGTGACCCACCCAGCTAAACCATCATAGGGCTAAACAGCAAGAGCTGGGACATGCCCATTTAAGACCACCTTTCCCAGCAGGGAAAAGTAGCCATTATCTACGCTCATGTCTGTCGTTCTCTGCCGTATGTATTAATAAATGCACTTTGTTGCCCCTAGTAATGTTTTGCCATCGACGGCAGGTCTGCCGGACAGCAGTCACCCTGTCTGCACTCCCTCCCTGCTCCGCTCCTATACATCATCGCTGCCATATCTTCCCTCCTCATCCAAAAAACCTTTCTTTGTTGCCCCACCCACATGTAACCTAGAAAAAGTTTGCTAAATGATCCAGACCCTATCCGCCATTTCCCCTGTCACATGGTTTGCTAAATGAACCAGACCCTATCCGCCATTTCCCCTGTCACATGGTTTGCTAAATGATCCAGGCCCTAGCTGCCACTTCCTGTCACATGGTTTGCTAAATGAACCAGACCCTATCCGCCATTTCCCCTGTCACATGGTTTGCTAAATGATCCAGGCCCTAGCTGCCACTTCCTGTCACATGGTTTGCTAAATGAACCAGACCCTATCCGCCATTTCCCCTGTCACATGGTTTGCTAAATGATCCAGACCCTATCCACCACTTCCCCTGTCACATGGTTTGCTAAATGATCCAGGCCCTAGCTGCCACTTCCCCTGTCACATGGTTCCTCCCACAGTTCCTGGTAATGACTAAGTGGCCTGTCAAAAAAACATGCAACCTAATATACAGTACAGCAATCATCAGGTGGCATTACTTCGTAAATGTGCTAATTACATCAATGACATCACTATGTATCAGACAACAATTAAAGCAGACAAGTTGTCAGTCAGCACACATTTTCACTTACCCCATCCTGAGCATCAAGACACGCCTTGAAATCCCACAAAATCTCAGTGCAGGACAGGCAACCACAGACCACTACAAAAAGAGTTTACAGGTTTCAGATCAGTGTTCTGTACTGGGGTTGGCTCAGGTCAGAGTGTTCTGTACTGGGTTTGGCTCAGGTCAAAGTGTTCTGTACTGGGTTTGGCTCAGGTCAGAGTGTTCTGTACTGGGTTC